CTTAAGTTTATTCCACCATATGGGAAGTCTGCAAAGTTTTATGTCCCTGCATATGCAATGCAAACTCATATTGTTTTCTTCTGATTTCAACTAATTATTTTAGAAACTATTACCTCAGAGTCAAATTCTGAACACATTACAGCCAGTTAAACCCCTAATCTGTCAGAGTAGGTTCAAATATTGAACATATTGGAGTCAATGAAAATTGTCATTCACTTCTCTCTAGATTTTTTTTTTTTCAGTTGAAAAAGTCAATATAAGATTAAATACATTTTATAATTAGCCAATTATGCCTTAGAGTTTCTTCTAGAAATTTTAGTAAAGGGAGCATAAATCTCTGGTGGTATCCTAAACTTACAAGAAAAAGCTTTCATGGAGATGTAAAACCACCCAGGCAGAAGATGGATATTTGTTATTAAGGGTAATGGTCTTGCTTCTTTAACTTACAGATATGTAATGCATGGCTTTGCTAGGCATGAAATTTGTTAAGTACAAAATCTCATTACCAATGGAAAAGTCAGCATAAACATTGCTATGTAGAACCCTCATATAAAAATAAGGCTTCTCCACATCTGCAAAGAACTGCACTTCCGGCAAGTGAGCATATATCCAATGCTATCAAGCAAGTTATTTGTTAAAATTGAGTATAAATAATAAATGAGAAAGACATTAATTCATCAATATGGAGTGAAAACCAGAGCAGATGGCATCTTCCCATGCTCCAGGCAGGTAGCACTAGTGATACTTTCCAACAAAGTACATGGTGTGGGAAGGATCAAAGACACCTCTCATTTTCTCTTAATTTCAATTTTCAACAAAGATTTTGAAATTCCATCCTGTGCAGTGCCAGTAACAGACATAAACCAAAAAGGACTTGAGGAAGAATTGCAATTCTGAACAGCAAAATATTCAAATTCCTTTGTGCATTATTAAGTGTGATTGCCTCCTTTCTCTAACTGAAAAGATAACCAAGCACTGAAATCCTTCAATGGGGATGACTTTCATCAGAAACCAAGCTACTCATGGGATTATGGCTTTAAAAAGGATCCTTTCCATTGATCCTTGAGAAATGCTGTCCCTAGAATGGGAAGAGATAAAGAATTAAAGTGGAAAGGAAAGAAAAAGGCATGGAAAGGGAAAAGGAAACGGCCCTGGCCTTAGGACATGAACAAGAGTAGTAACTCTTACCATGTCTACATCTGCTTGCAATAAGGACCAAGTATTGGTTTAGAAATGTTCTTAAGTTCAGGAGCATTCTACAGAAAATATCCAGGTCTGGATCTTCAAGAGTATCTGGACATGATGCTCTTATTGAGAAATCTTAATTTTAATGTCAATTAGAGTCATGTCAGTATTTCGAGTTACTCATCCACTCTTCATTTTCTGTATTGTGCCAGAAATTATATTTCCATAAACCATTATCTTGTGTTTGTGATTTTCACTCAAGTCTGATTGCAGAAGTCACAGCTCAAGAGTTTGTACTCCTGTGAATTCATTCATAACTCATTTCACACGATGGCATTTGAATTTAAGTTCAGAAGCAGATCACACTCAACATTTTCTTTTTCAGAATGGCAGCTCCTGCTTAGCTGAGCTGCTCTCCAGGTGGACTGCAGCCAAATTTACTTTATTGGCTGGATTTCTGCTTTTTCAGGAACACATTGCTGTAACTGCACTTCTCCATGAAGTCCTGAAGGAGCCAGCAAAAGCCTCATTACAGTCATTTTTGTTCACTTGCTCCAGGTTTTTGATACCTATCATCCCTGCTGACACTGCAAAATATTGATGCAACTCCATATTTCTCTCCCAGCTCGCATACATGTTTTTCTACTGAAATTGTTAATTGAGATGCAGGCATAAAAGTCCTGTTCTTTAGGTTTTGTCTAAACTGTCAGTAACTTTTCAAAGGTCAGATTCTCAGCTGAGTTTATGTGCATGTGTATATATCTTAAACTGATCAGATGGGGACCTATTAAAGAAAGTTAAATTGAGTGCAAAATCTCATAAGCAAAATAAATTCTACTGTAAGCAAGAGGCTAATCTCAGGATCCTCTGAAACACTCCTCACAGCAATCTTTAGACTTTTTCTTTACTCTCAGTCAAGTTTTGCCACCCAGTTCATCACAATGGTTACACAATCTTTATAAAACATATCTTGATTTTTAGTAGAGTAAAATGCATTACCTGGATCTATTGCATTATCCGTGTTTCTCTGGCTTCGGCTTGCCAGGCTCATGGTGGCATTTCCTGACACTTTTTTTGTTGGGGAGGGCTTTTTTATAACTGGTTTTGGCTGCTTCTGAAGTTTGGTGATGTTGTTCATTGCATTTACCATGGATATGTCAACATGCTGGGTTAAATTTGTCAAAATAGTTCCTGCTTTTACTTCAAGCAGCGATTCAGCAAGCTCCTTGAGGCCTCTCTGCAGCAGGGGGATATCTGGCTGAGCCAATTTAATTAGCACAGGTATGCTTGCGTTCACTTTCTGGATGCTGTTGTTGGTGGCCTGGCACAGCCCCCAGGCCTCATGAGCAGTCTTGTTCACAAGTGGAATGATGTACCTGATGGAAGCACCTGAAGTGGATTGAAGCACCTGGAAAAAACAAAGGAGAAATGTTTTTTCCTGGGCACTGAGAGCACTCCAAGGAGCAAGCAGGGATGCTGGCTCTGGGGGAAGGAGAAATCTCTTTTGGTTCCTCAATTCTCCCTGTAAGGCTCTTGCTGCATGTGCCTGACCCTGAAGCAGCAGCTTCCCCTGAAACACAGCAGCAGCTTCCCAGCAGCGTGGGACTGGCAGTGCCCTGCACACACCACAGGTTCCCACTGCCACGGGAGGGCTGGCTGCTCCCAGCTCCTCATCCCGGCTCCCCAGGGAAAGGGAATGGATGCTCCAGCACAGCTCTCCCGTGCCCCTCCCACCCCAGCAGCTCAGGCTCCGGAGGGAGAACACCTTTCCCAGGACTCTGCAGCCAGAACAGCCCAGCGCAGAGAAGAGAAACAGCACAGCTGAGGCTGGAGCTGGGGCTCCTCCTGCTGAAGCCTCTGCACAGCTTCCACCAGGACAGGGACCTCTGGGAAGGCCAAGAACCCGGCCACGCACGGGGCAGTGACGGGCACCATGCGGCAACCCTGGCACAGCAGCTGGGGCAGGCACAGACAGCACCCTGCCAGAGAGCCCCTGCATGGTCCAGAGCTCCTCTGCTTCGTGCCCGCTGCTCATCCCTCTTATACCCACGGACAGGTCAAAGGAAATGGTCTCAGGCAGCACAAAACAGATTCCTGCCTTGCCCTGCAGATCACAGCAGGAGATTCAGTTCATTAAAATCCCAGCAGACAGCATCAAACTTTATTTCTCTGCTTGTTAGAGGTTTTATAGTGAAAGACAATTTTTATAACACTTTGAAAGCTGGGAAAGAGAGAAAAAAATCTTTATTAGTTCAAGTCAAATGACTGTAAGAAGTGAGACCCGTGGCAGGTTTGGAAAAGCTTTCCTATGTCACAGCCCGTATTATCAGCTGGTTCCCAGCAAGAGCTCACCCACAGGACTCTGCACTGGGGCACTGCGAACACCTCCCTCTGCCCACGGGCACCTGCTCCCCGAAGGGGCACGGCGGCTCCTCTGGACCCTGGCTGAGTTCCCAGCCATCCCACAAAACTCCTGCAACTGGGAGCTGTTTGCATCATGCATCTGTCTAAATCCTTACAGGTATTTTTTCTGTTTTTGGTTGGTTTTTTGTGGATTTTTTTTGCTTGTTTGTTTGTTTGTTCGTGGTTTTTTTTTTGTTTGTTTGGTTTGGGTTTTTTGCTTGTTTGTTTGGTGGGGTTTTTTTGGCTTTTTTTTATTAATTGTTGTTGGTTGGTTGGGGTTTTTTTTGGGAACACGCAATTGGAAGGTTTGCTCAACAGCTCAACACACACAGAACCACGGATTGGCACGGAATGGTTGGGTCGGGAGTGACCTCAAAGCCCATCCCATTCCACACTCCTGCCACAGGCAGGGATACCGTCCACTGTCCCAGGCTGCTCCAAGCCGCGTCTAGCCTGCCCCGGGACACTTCCAGGGATCCAGGGGCAGCCGCAGCTCCTCTGGGCATCCTGTGCCTCTCAGTGAAGCATTCCTCCCCAGTCCCCCACCTGCCGCTGCCCCACAGCCCCGCGGCCGGGCACGGCCGGGCCGGGGGTTCCTCGAGAGCCGGGTAGCTGAGCACAACCAGGGAGGCACGGCTCTCGTCCCCCTTGGTGCAGGATAAATCCACACCTCCCACTCTCTGCAGCCCGGAGAACTGCGGGTCCTTCTGCCATTCCTCGGTGTCCTGATCCCCCACGCTGGCCCTCAGCCGAGCCTGGGTCCTGCGGGACCGCCGCGCTCAGAGCCGGGCCGCTCCGGGGAGCCGCCTGCCCGAGCCCCCGTCCCGAACCGCGCCCCGTTCGCTTCCCGGGGAGCTCCCAGACCCCAACCGGGGGAGGGAGCACCGGCGGCTCTTGCCGAGGGTGCCCATGCATGCCTTGTGGGGACGCGGTGCCGGGCAGCCCCGAGCGCGGCCGGGCCCAGCCCGAGCCCCGCTACCGCTCCCAGCGGAGCCGCCGGACGGGGTACGCGGCCATGGCGGCGCCGGGCCCGCCCGTCCCGCAGCGCCGAAGGATCCCGGCGCCGATCGTGGGAGGAGCCGGGAGCACCCCGCCGGCGCTGAATGAGTTTATTGGGAAGGAGAGGGGGAGAACCTGGCTGGGACAAGGCGGGCCGGGCTGAAGGCAGCGAAGGAGCCGCTGCCCTCGGACTCCCTGTGCGGGTCCCGCCGCAGCGGGGGCGCTGGGCAGCAGCCGGTTGTACAGCCAGCGCAGAAAGGCAGGCTGGAAAACATCAACCCTACCGCAGCACGAGGGCACCATGATTTGTAAAAAACGTCCTTCATGCTCCTCCAGTGGCTCTGGAACTGTGCTATTTCACACTCCTCCTCTATCACCAGCCGGAATCTTATGTACTAATCACGAACTAGGACTGCTAGGAACGTGCCTTGAGCCGTTTTATTTTCCAGCATTGGTCTCATTACATGGTTATGACAATGGGAAGATTCCATCAGCTCACATCCCAGGCAGCAGACCAAGAACTTAATGTTACAACTTACTTTTTAAGTTTTTTGACCAATCGCACAAAGCAAAAGCATGCTGACAGTAGCATCAAATCATTACAGGCGCACGCACCTTCGGTTAAAACAACACTTGCTTATTTCTAATACAATACCTGTTTGTAAGCCTTAAAACATAGCGCACAGAGCTCCATTATTAAGCTTAGAACTTTCTAATATCTTGCTAGATATACTTTTCTGCAGCTTAGGGAGTTCTTGTGGACAAGCGTTAATACACAGACCATTGTTCCATTTGTCCTTACTTTTCATGTAATTTTTCTGCTGACATTTTATGGCTACTGCTTAGCTCTAATCACAGTTCTCCTGTCTCTGAGGCCTGCCTTTTGCAGCTTTCCCAAAACCCTCTGATTTTATAGATTCCCACACTCCTCCTCCACAGCCACTCTCCTCTTCACATCAGGTGTAAAAACAACAACCCCAAACCCACAGAACAACCAACAAGCCCCAAACAAATGCCCCGAGTTCCAGAAGCCTTGACATGGGTGTTGTGGCATTCCCTGGCAGGGTTCTGTCCTAACTGTCTCTGTGCTCCCTCTTGAAGACAGCAGCTGCTTTCCAGGTATCAGCAGCATGAGACAGAAGAATCTTATCTGGGAATGTGTCTTCCAGCTCCGCAGCTAATTCAGAGTCTTTGGCATCAAGGTAAGGCACGAGTGATTCTTTCAGGCTGGAAGACAGAGCAGAATGGCATGAACAGCAGGGGTACAGCATACCTCAAGTGCCACAATATGAGTGCACTGCAGCACCCAAAATACTCAATACACAACTGAACAGGGGGGTGTGTGTGTAGTGAGAAGGGTTAAACAGCCAGGTGGAGGCACAGAGGCCAGCAAGGGGAGGCTGCAGGGCACACCTGAGCTCTAGGGCTGAGCAGTGCCTGTGCAGAGCTGTGTGCCTATCCTTGAAGGCTGGCCTTGAGCACCATGAAGATTTTTTCCAGCCTTAATGCGTTTGTGATTCTGTTACTATTTTATCCAAGTGCCTGCAGAAGTGCTGGTGTTTGTGCCCTGGACAGCAGCTCCTGGAGTGTTCCAGCAGTGTCTCCAAGAGAGCCTGTGTGAGATGGAAGTGACACTTGCCAGAAATGGGTATGGATATTCCTAATGCTGCTGCCTGGGCTGTGTCCCCTAGGACATGCATGTGCCAAGGGAGTGTTCCCACTGTGTGCATACTCAGAGGCAGAGAAGCTTCAGTAAACAACAACTGTGGTGGCTTTGGGTGTGTAATTCCTACCTCCACGTGGGTTTGAATTCTTCCACAGCTTGGACACTTCTCAGCTTCAGGATGATCATTTCGTGGAGCTCCTGCAGGAAGGTTTCCAGCCTGGAGTGGACCAGGAAGGTGTGCAAGAGCTTGACAAGCTCTGGGGTGAGCTGTTCTGTGTAGCCAGGACTGACATCTGCAAAAGGATCCTAAAAATGCAGCGAGGGAAGAAAAAACCCAAAGACACATTTGAACAGCTGCAGGCAGAGCAGAGCAGAGCAAAGGAGGTCACACAGAGGTGCTGGGGATGCCATACCCTGCCGAGGCGTAGCAGCTGCTCAGATTTGTGGGCACAAAGGAGCTGCCACAGGGCCATGCTGTGCCTGAGCTGGCACCGTCTGAGGGCCTGGAAGAGAAGGATGTGAGGGATGTCCTTGGAGCCTGTCCCCAGCCTGCCCTGCCCAGGAGTGCTCAGCACAGAGCTCATCCAGCCCCTTGGCCTGGGTGGACCCCATGTGCCCTCTCACCCTTCCCCATCTGCCCTGAGTAAGCCAGTTTTTGATACCACAATAGGCAGTGGGAAAGTGAGAGGGCTCTGTCACACAGGCTGGATTTAGCATAAACCAGGGCAGATTTTACCCCACAAGAATCTGAGCTTTGCCCTCAGGACTCACCTGCAGCACGTGAGGGTTTGTCTGATCCCCCATCTGCAGAACTTGCTCAATGTACTCAGTCAACAGCATGTCAGCATTCTCACCAGCAATGGCCAGGAAGCCCAGGGTAATCTCAGTGAGGGACAGAGCATCACACACATCACTGTAGGACTGCAGCTCCCCCGTGATTATGTTCATCACAGAATTGGGCAGAGCACTCTGAAAACCACAAAGTCATAGTTAATACTGTTTTAGAGCCATTCCTTTTTCTGTTCCAATTGCTCAAGTCAAGGAAGACAACAGAAGCCCAGATTTAGGAAAGTGAAATGCTGAACTATCTCCCTTTCTCTTTGTAAGTCCTAACTGACAGCACAAGGCCAGCTTGCACGTACCCAAGGCATGCTGAGAAATCAGCAGACAAGCCTTTGGATGGACAAGGCAAGGCACAGAAAACCCTTGGAAAAGCAGGGATTTCGTGCTTGCCCTGCTTCCTGCAGTGCAGAAACCCACCTGCTCCAGCTTGTTCTTGACATCACTGAACAGCTGCTCATAGTTCCTGTCATGTCTGTACACCAGGGTGGGGATTCCCTGTCAGGAGAGAAACCCATGGATGTGAAGCCTGGAATGCTGCTCCCAGTGCCCTCCTGGCTTCACAGCCCTGCCCCTCCTACCGTTAGTGTGATGAGTGGCTTCCCCTGCAGGAACTTGCTGATCACTTGCTGCTGGATCCTCTCCAGATCAAAGTCCTGCAAGGTCTCCCCTCCCTTCTCCATGCTGTACTGGCAGTTGGAGAGGATCAGAGGGATCAGGTCCCTCTCCACCTCGTAACTGATCAGGTGCAGGTCGGCCACTTCCGAGGGGCTGACCAGGTACCTACAGGGAGTAAAGGGCCTGTGTTCAGAGACGCCTCTGTGGAGCAGGGAAAGCTGCCTGAGAGGGAGCAGGGGATGCAGCAGAGCCCAAGGAGCAGAGCAGCAGCACACCTGTCATCCTCCTTGGTGTCTCTGGTGACAGAGTATATGAAGTCGTTGTGCAGCCCAATGAGGTAACTGGCCAGCGCCGTGGAGCACAGCCCCAGCCCCTGCCGCCGTGGCAGCAGCACCTCCAGCCTGTTGTCCATGCTCAGCTCAGCATCACAGTAGCTTTCAGGCAGCTTGATTTCCCCTGAAATACAGACAGCAGTGTTTGAGGAGGCCCAGAGCCAGCCCAGGCTGAGCCAGGGCAGGAGGAGGTACAAAGCTGAGAAAAGCTGCGGGCTCAGGATTAGGGACAAGCACGAAGGGGAACAAGTTCAGGTGAGAAAGGGGACAAGTTCAGGTAAGAATACTACAACAGGGAAACAAATCCCTCCCCTTCTTAAAATTCAATGGCCAAGCCCAGTTTTGAGGATATGCCCCAGCATCAGTGATGGGAGGAACCTGAATTCAGAACAAGAAGCAGTGGAGGAGCAGGGCTGGGAAAGAAGCTGCTCACCATTGGTGTGCAGGGAGCTTCTCAGTTTGTTCCAGACAGACAGAAACACATTCACTCTCCTCTCTAACAGCTCCCTCATCACACCTGAGAAACAACAGAAAGATAAATCCATCAAACACCTTTTCCTGGTGAAACTTTCCAATGCAAGGATCTTCAGAGCACACCACTGAACTCCAGGCAGCTGCTCCAACTGCTCAAGAGACTAATCAGATGCCAAACACCTTTCTAAAGGTATCAAATGGAGTCATCTGCTCAGTTTGTTATTTTCTATTATTGTCTGCTCCTGGCCCAGGCCACAAGGATGGATTGGCCCTTGGTCTAATTCCGCATGACCTTTATGTACTTCCCCATAAGTACTTAAAAACATTAGTAATTGCTCTTTAGGCAAGCCCTGTTCTAGGGCTGAGCTTAAAATGCCAAAAGAACCACTGCTGCACTGCACAGAGCTCCCACCCCTCATAAAAAATCTCCTGTACCTAATTCCCTTTAAAGTCATCTGGTAACTTTTCCAACCCTATTCAAGTCTCCAGTTCATTCTGGTGAGAATTAAAAGGAAAAGGAGAGTTTTCTCCTTCACAAGACAATCCAGCATTTTCTGTTTCATCAATTACAACTTTGGCAGAGTCTCCTCACCTGAGTGGGTTTCCCTGAGGAATTCCCCAATGGAGCAGTCTTTGATCTCTACTGTGTTCTGGAATTGCCTCACCAAATCTTTCTGCAGAGCCAGAATCTCTGGTAGGAATTTCACCAGCCTCAGCTCACTTTCCTGGAAGAGGAATGGGAACCTGTGGGTAAGGCTATGCTCGGACAAACCAGTTGGGAATACTTTTATGGCATTGCTTCTTAAATGTTTAAAAGACAACAATATCTTCCATGTTTATTCTCAAGATCATAGCAAGTACTGAGATAATCCAAACATGGTTTAGTCCTGGGCAATCCCAGGCTCTCAACCCTGTGCCAGCCCCACCTTCTGCAGGAACTTCCAGAGGAGAGGGACGGTGTCCTTGGCATTCTTCTGCTGCACAACGTGGCTCAGGTTCTCCACTGAAACCTTCCTGCGGCAGCTCCACATCTTGGAATGGTGGATGTGGCTGTCCCCTGGCAGCTGGGACAGGAATGCAGCTGGGTCCCCATACACTATTTTCACTATGGGGTTGGAAAAGATTCTCTCATCCTCTTGTATCCGTTGGTTTAACTTGAGAAGCTTTTTATCCAAATCCTGCATTTAAAAAATAATAAGTTATTAGATGCTGTGAAATACCTTCAAAAGAGCTAAGCCATTTCTACTTTTCCAGCTATACAAATTCATCCCAGAACAACTCCAGTCTCAGGCTCCCATTTCCCGAGGTGGAATAAAGATGGCTAATCCTTAACCTGCAGCTGTGCCATGGATGGGCTGGCTTTAGGAACAGCCAGATGAAAAGTGTAGCACACATATTACAACACATCAGATTTCCAGTGGATTTTGAACGGTTCAGCTACTGACTCTGTATAGCAGATTTCTCACCTCCAATTCAGGAACAATAATTGTGTTTGCAACAATTTCTTCCCAATTGTTTCTCTCCTCCTTGGTGGACAGACTCTCAAACCGCACCAGCCCTGCAATAGGAATATTTCACCTCTTACATCTGCAGTATTGCAGTGAAAAGAAAGCACATATTCACAGGTGCTAGAAGTTTACTGAGTATCTTGGTTCAGCTGGAGAGTGACACCCAAAGATCACACAGTGATCCAGGTTTCCAGGAGCTTTCCCGGGTCACATCTCACAGCAACCATTTTGGGGGATACACCTTTCATGGGGGCACTGGCACTGTGCCAGAGTCAATCCATGACAGTTCCACACTCCAAATATGGGCTATTTACACATTAATGCCTCTGTGCCACAGTGACTCCAGACCCCACCGTGAACCCCACTGTGCCATCCCTCTTCTCCCAGAGAGCTTCTGGGAGTGATTGAGAGGCAGCACAGAATAGGGATTGCACAATGAGCTGCTGTGCTGGGAAGCAGCCCTGCTCAGGAGCTGCAAGCTCTGCCCATCTGTCATGAAGTTGTTTTGTCAATAATTCATTTTCAGAGTTATCGACTGCACCAAACCTTGCAAACCTCACGTACTTGACTGAAAGAAGCAAACAGACAAAAATTCTTCCCTCCCTACAGTAAGAAATAAGCTTCAAACTCTCTATTTTTCTCTTCAGCTCAGCTGCTGATGTTTAGGGGTGAAGGGGTTTATCAGCAAGGTGGCTGCATGGCCACAGCTCTTCAACCACAGCCCCAGGTGTGACAGGGCAGGTGGCTTTTCTTACGGTGGCCTTGTTGCTGCTGGGGGGCCTGCAGGAAGCTGCTGAGCACCAGGTGCAGGATGTTGATAGTGTCATCCACACTCTTCCCCAGACTCCTGGTCAGCTGTGCCAAGTCCTCCTGAATGTGCTGCTTCAGGAAGCTCATCACATCATTCACTGTTGGCTTGATCATCCTTCCCAGGGACTAAAGACAACACAGGCAAGAGTTGAGCACAGCCAAAAACATCCAGGGAAGCATAAAGCACACAGACCTCTGTCCTGCCAGGCACGCCCACCTGTGGGATTCCTGCCACCTGCGCCCATCAAGGCAGGCCTGGGTGGATGTGCCTGCATGGAAGTGCAGGAATTAACCAAAAACCCCAAAGACCCAAGGGAATTTGGGTCTTGCATCCTGACAGACTGCCCTGGTCACTTGGCAGTACGATGAAAAGGACCAGCAGCATACAAAGGTTCCCCTACGTTTTGTGTGATCACTTAGAAGCATTTCTGGAAGATACCTGAGGGTCTCTCGAGGCTCCCAGCAGCATGGACAGGTGGGTGAGCAAACGGAGCAGCACAAAGACTGTGGAGGACATGCCCCTGTCAGATATTCCCAGTGTCCTTCTGTGCTCAACATCTGCAAGGATGTGGCCAGTTTGAGTTCTGTCTTGATGATTCCTGTAGGAAAGTGCATGTGTGTTTTTTTTTTACCTAGACAAAAACCACACAAGACATCTCTGATACCCAGCAATGCCTTTTTGACCCATAATGTCTTTGAACACCATAAAAGCTGCCAATTCAAAGTGCCAGAGGGGAGTGGAGGCTTCCAGTCAGTTTTGTGCACAGAAAAGCAAATTTCTTTGGTTTTGCTGCCTGATTGCTCTTGCTTGGACATCTCTTTCTTACAACTTCCAGAGAGCAGCATGAAGTGGTTGGTACCTCTGGCGTTTGAGGGCACCACAGGCAAGTCCCATATCATTTAGCTCTGCAAAGGCCATGCAGCAAAGCCCACCTGGACAGACGGAAGCCCTCCACGGGCTTGTGGTTTCTGCCTCCAATGGGGACGTGGCATTCAGGACAGCGGCTCTTTTCCATGGGGCGCCCACACTGGAAAAAGCAACAGGAGAACACTGAATTCCAGAGCAACAGCTTCTCCAGCAGAGAAAGGGAATGAAACAAAAAACCAACCTCTAAATGGTTAATTCAAACCCTGCTACAAACTGGGCCTCTGCCTGATGTTTCCTAATCTGTGGTATGAATGCTGGGGGTATGCTAAATTTTACATTACAATGACAAAATGATCAATAATATCGAGTTTAGAAGTGGAACTCTGTGCATCAGAACATTAAAACCAGCAAATAAAATAAAACAGTTTGTTGTTGAAAACTTTATCTGCTTAAATACCCACCAGTCCCAAATTCTTACCTCTCCCACAGTGCAGGGGTGGCCATTGGCACATTCTGTGAAGAGAGAATCAAAGAGGACAGTATTCTCAGACAGATTTATACAGCCCCTGTTATTCCCCTTCCTATGGACCATCATCCTGGAGCAGGAAATATGATTCAAGATCTAATCAAAAGCCCTGACTATCCCAAAGCCCAAAGGACTGACAGGCCCGTGCAGGAAGCCAAGGAATTTTTCAGTGTTGCTTCTCCTTGAGAAACAAGGAATCAAAGCTGGACAGATTCTACTGCTGAGGGCAGGAATGGTCTCACCCCCCATTCCCTGCTGCAGGAAGGTCCAGCTGTGGGAAGCACAGACAAAGCTGGCCAGTAAGGTGGCAGAGTTCTTCTCTCACACCAGGTTCGTGTTGCCTTTGTGCCCTCTCATGCTCTGTGAGCAGCTGTAGGCTGAAGACTAAACAGCACTGGATGTCCTTTGGTGCATCACCCACTCAAACTGTCTACAAATCTGGATTTACCACAGATAACTCATACTGAGGAGTGTGTTTGTCCTCACACTTGGAACAGTTTCACTCTCCAAACTCAAGGCATTCCTTCCCCAGCCAGCCAGCAGCACTCACCATACCAGTGCAGATCACGTATTTTCTCCCAGGTCCTTGCCTGAGCCATCATGTCCTCGGGCATCGTGGGCAGAAAGGAGTGCTGAGGAGGGAAAGAGGAAAGCAGTCACAAATGGATCTGGGAATCAGCTCTGTCCTGTAGCAGTCACTCACTGGTTCTCTGTTCACACTGGGGAACAAGAAACATCTGAGAGCAGAGGTCAAGCAGGTGACACAGATGCAGATTTTCAAATTCACCTTTGAAAATCCACTCTTAGAACTGTCAGTATTGTTAAGACTTGCATGTGCACTCTCCAGACATCCTGCAGTGCATTGCTGATGCACCCTGGTGCATACCAGCGTGTTCCCTTCCACCTTGGGTAGCCAGGAATAGCAGAGCAGCAGCTCTCTCCCCCTGACCAAGAAGCCAGAGCTCTCTGAGCAGGCAGGTCAGCACAGTGGGAGCTGCCAGCTGCTCTCAGCCTTGCTCATCCAAGTATCAGCAAAGATATTTAAAGCTTCATCCTGCTCAGGATGGAGAGGTGCCTTGAAAAGATACCAGCCCAGAGACTGGTAGTGTGCTAATTAACCCCAACAGCACTGAAATAATTCCCCCCAGTGTTTCACAGCTCAACCAGTGAGTTGGAGCTGTTGAGAAAGAGGATCCAGCAGATACAGGCAAGATCCAAGGATGAGCTGAGTGCATGTGAGCTCCGTGCCCTCACCTGCATGGTGCTTGGCTGGAAGGCCAGGTTCCTGAGGGGCTGCAGGACAGGGCTGTGCCCACAGAGCAGCACAGCAGCCATGTGCACAGCCATCTCCAGCAGGGCTCTCTGCTGGCTGTGGCCCTGCGGCTCCACAGCCAGCCCAGGCAGGGTGTTCTTCACCAGGGCAACTGCAAAGTGCTGCAGCTCGGGGGAATTCAGCACTCGGGAGCGCTGGATGAATTCAGTCATCACCTTTGTTTGCTGAAAGCACAGATTGGAAGGAGTTAAAGCCATCAGAATACTGCCCCCACCCAAAGAGCACTGGCAGCTGCTTCCTACACTGGGTTACCCTGCTCCCAAAACCTCCACAGCCTGCTCAGCTCCGGGCCATCACCCTGGCTGGGGCACAGGAACCGAAGCTGCTCCACCACTGATTCAGATTCCCTTCCTCCTTACTCATGAAGCAGGTTTGCCACAAGCTGCCAAAGGGGGTGTGCTGCTTGGGATGTCCTACCTGCTTCTTGGGATGAAGGCTTGGATTCCCATACAGAGCAGTGACCTCTCTGAAGATAGCCAGGAGCAGATGGGCAGATTTCAGAGCTGGGGGGCTGCTGGAGGCCTGGGAAGAACCAAAGATGTGGCTGGGAACAGGCCAGAGCTGCCCCAGCTACAGTGATGGGATGTGCAGGTGGGAAAGTAAAGCTTGAGCACAAGCCCCAGTGACCTCCCAGCAGCGGCCCCCCAGGTGCTGGGAACAGACACTGCCCACAGGGACACAGCAGAGCTGGGGCCATGCAAACCCAGCAGGGACCCGGAGGGAGGACAGGGCCCAGCAGGGGTCTCAGGGAGCACTGGGCTGTACCTCCTGAGCTTTGAGCAGCCCCTGGCACTGGTGAGTGGCAGAGCAACCTCACCCAGCCACCCCTGTGTCCCCAGGGCACCCAGCCTGCCACAAGCACAGCAAACCATCCCTGAGCCCCCAAGCCATCCCTAACCCTCCAGCCCACCCTGCCACAAGAACAGCAAACCAACCCTGAGTCTTCAGCCCACCCTGCCACAAGCACAGCAAACCATCCCTGACCCTCCAAACCATCCCTGCACCCTTCCAAACCACTGCCATTGCCCCCTCATCCTAAACCTCTGCCATGTCACCAAACACCATTTTTAGGATGTGCCCCAGCTGTCCTACACTCCCGAGGCTTGGAGCTGAGCTAGAGCTAGGAGCAGACTGTGAATGACAGACATTCCGTGTTCCAGGATGCGAAACTCTACCTGTCTGTCCCTTAGCAAGAACACGAATGGTGATTTTAACTACAAAGTCACTTGCCCAGCTCTTACCTCCAAGCAGTTGACAAAAAGCAAGTAGAGCTCTTTTTTATCATTTTCCTCTAGGAGCCTGCTGTGCTCCACTTGGGACAGGTAATGCTGCACATAATCTTTCACTTCATTGAAGCTACAGGAGAGAGAGAGAGAGAGACCCCCTGACACAGCTGCCATACTGACAGGACTGCCCCTGCTCTAAATCACAGCAGAGCTTCCAGAGCTGGCTGTGTTACAGGTGGGGTCACTCTGGATCCAGCTGCAAGATGGAAAAGCTCTTGTGATTTTTTGCAGGTGACATTTGGGAACGAGCCAGGCTTTGATCACCACAGTGCTCAATGAGCACTTCCAGGGAAAAAGGCATCTGCTTCAGGAGGTGGTCACACCTGAGAAAGGGCTTTTGTGCCCTGACTGCAAAGGGAGGTTGGGAGGGCTGTGGGAATGGGGAGGTCTGTGGAGCAGACATAAGATCAGTTTAAATCCTGATTAAATCTCCATGAATGAGGAGTTTTGCTTTACTGACCTTGATCACAGCAACTACTCAGTGACCTTGCAGAACCCAGGCATCCACCCTCAGCACAGGGTTAGTGAGGGACAGCCAGGTAAACCTTGCAGAGGCTGCTCACACTGCACCACAAGCCCCATGCAAGCCAGCCAAGCTGCACGACTAATACAAAGGGATTCAGATTCAACGAAACTCAGGGAGGTGAGGAGAACAATGGGATGGGTTTGATGAAGAACAGAGCTGAACCTGGCCCTGGCCTAACCTCCCTCAGCTGAATGTGGTCACCTGTACTTCAGGAGCAGCTTCAGCATCACAGAGCGGATGATGGGAGTTTCATCCACCTCATCATTAAATGGGGACAGGAATTTTGTGTAGACAGCAGGGTCATCTGTGGAGATAAGGGAAGGACAGGTTTGGCAGTTGACAGAAGGTGGTGACAGATCCAGCTCTATACGACTGAGTGTCAGGGTGAAGGGAGCTCACTTGGGTCTTTCGAAACTGTTCCTCTGCGAGCAAACAGCAGGTCCAGGAGGCTCTGGATCACCTTTGGCTCAGGGGGCTTGTTGTCCTTGAAGCACATGGTGGTGACCACATCAATGAAGAAATTATTGCACCTCTGCTGGAACAGGGCCTTCTTTGCTCTGGCAGCTCTGGGAGGGGCAAAAGCAAACACAGAACCTCTTAAACCACAGAGGAATCGAGCACACACAGGCAAAAGTCACCCAAGGGAGATACTTTTCAACCTTCCCAATGAGATGATCCTTGAGGTCCCTTCCAACCCAAACCATTCTATGATTTGCATTTTTTTACAGAGGCCAAGGCAGCTTTCCCCTTTTTTTCAAACAACAGAACAGACAGGATCTGTCCAGTTCCAGAGGGACGAAGTTCACCCTCCACTCTGCTTGTGTTGACCACCTCAGAGTTGAGAATTCCTCACAAAGCCTCCCCACCCAACGCTCCCACGCTGGAGAGGGTAACTGGAGTACCTGAGCTCCTTAGAGACAGTTAACTCCACATCCTCCACAGCAACCCTGCAGTAGGGACAGTACATCTGTGCTGGCACCAGCCACAGGCTGATGCACTTGTGGCAGAACACGTGGTTGCAGGGCAGGCAGGTGGGGTCCTTCGGCTCTTGCAGGCAGATGGGACACAGCTCCAGACCTTGCCTGGAATCCAGAAACAGCAATGAGTACAGCTGCTTCCGTGCTGCCTCCCCAAAAGCCTTGAACAAGACGTCCAGCTGCAGCTAGACCAAGAACTGGCTCACTGCTCAGCTCAGGGTGCAGAACCAAGCAGGGTCATTGCTCTTCCCTTGGCTTTCACTGCACCCCATGCAGCACTGCTGCAAGTGTGCTGGCAACACAGGCAATGTCCCTGCTGGCCCCTGCAGCCTGCTCCAGTGTCAGTACCTGTACAGCCTGCTGCTGACCTCATCCTTGCATTTGCGCAGCACTGTCAGCACCAAAGAAAAGGTTGGATAAGACTTCATGTCTGAATTGTACTGGAAACACTGCAGAGGGAAAGAACAAGGCCCGGTGACTCAGCTGCAACACCTGAGATGAGAATTCCCATGGTCAGCTCAAGAAGGAAAAGGTGAAATGGCAGCTTTGCTCACCTCAGCAAGAAGCAAAGTGTATTTTCTCACTAAATCCTCAAATTCTGGCATGACGGAGTGGATGCCCAACAGGATGTGTTCCACGAAAAGTGCCATGGCAATCACACAGCTCCAGCAGGCCCTGGGGGGGGACAGCAAGATGGCACCACAGCAGGAATGGCAACCAGGGCAGCCAGGGGCTCACTGCTACTCCTGCTCCCCTCCACATCACTCCTGCACTTATCACTTGCTTTGTCCTTTGGCTTTCCAGAGAGGATTTTGTAAAGGACAGAACATTCCAGCACTTCCCCCAGGGGCTCAAGGGCCTGGCCTGGAGGCAGCACTGCAGCAGGACCAGCAGCACTGCACATACTTTCTCACACCTCTAACTTCTAGCTCAAAAAGTTTTTAAAATACCGATCACAATTAGCTGCACTTTCTTCACTTCAAATAAACTGAACAAGGTCTGTGAGAAACTGGGGTAGCGCTCTGGGCTTTCTTCCAAAACACAAGAGGCAGTGAAATTCCTCATCTTTTGAGTCCTTATGCACAGAGGATGAAGTGGGGAGACACTGGTGGTTAACAGGAACCTGAGGAGAGTTTTAAATATCCCCAGAACCCAGATGGAATGCACCAGATGATACCAAATTTAGAGAGAGAATCTGCAGGAGATGACAGATCAAAAATGTGGTTCTTGCTGCTTTGTATGTAATTGAGCCCAGCAGGAACCCTGAAAGGTTTGCAAAGCCTGAGAAAAGCAGCACCAGAACAGCTTATGGCTGTTCCAATGCCCCAGAGAACCTCCAGGCAAAGAGCAGGGCTGTGAGCAGAGCTTGGTACCTACCTGAGCTCCCTCAGCAGCTGATGGCAGTGGCTGCCCCTACGCTGGGCACCCTCCTCTTTGCACAGGAATTCAATGGGCGTATGGAGGTTCTTCACTCTCTGCAGCCAGAGCTCGGGGGCGGCTGTCCTCACCAGATTCTTTAGCTCCTCAGCACACGCCATGGCAGCCAGCACGTCCAGATCCTGCACACACACGGGGACAGGGGTAACAACAGCTGCATTTCAGAATTATTTATGGACCTAGGGCTCTCAGTCTGGCTTGCTACACCACATGTTCTACTGAATAATGTCCTACTTGATTACTTTAAGCTCTACAATTCTCATGTTTGTGGCTTGGCTCATTAGCATGTCTAACGCAAAAGCAGGGCAAACTATTTTAAAACCTGCTTGTAGCAATAAGAACACAATAGATCATTCCCAATTCTGAGGAACCCCAGCCTGTGCTTCCCCCTCTGCTGTGGCTGAAATCCAAAGGAGACTGAAGAGCAGTGCAGACAGAGCTCCCTGCCAGGGCTGAAGGAGTGACTCTACCATCTCAGAGCATGGAATTCTGCATTCATGTGGGGTCAGGAGGTAGCCAGTCACACAGGGGTACACAGCCAGGATCCTGGAGAAGTTCTGCAGGTGGCTCTTGCACTGGTTGTGTGCCAGGTGGGCCCAGGGCAGGGAGGGCACCAGCTCCTTTGTCCAGGGGGACTGTGCCATCCACTCCTTAACCCAAGACAGGAACGCTGCACGCAGACACTGCAGGGATGGGACACAGAAAACCAAAGGTGAGAAAGTACTTTTATAACTCATCTTGTACTGGAAAGCCTGGCAAAATTCTCTGAAAGATGAGAATCACTTCCCTACAAAGACAGCCTTAAATGTGCCAATTTATACAGGTGCTGCCTTTATGAGTGATCCCAGTGTCCAGTAGTCTGCTCTGGGCTTCCCTTGTTCTTGGGCAACTGTCTCAGAGGGGCATTTTCCCCAAGGCAGGACTGATTCAGAAGGATGCATTCCGAGGCATCACACTGTTCTCCCCATTCAAAGGGTTTCCAGCCCCTGACCTGCAGCTGCTCCTGGGAGGACACACCAATGGTCAAGACAACAAAGTCTCTGATGTAGCACTCAAAGAGCAACTGCCTTTCTTCCCCAGTCAGAGCAGAGATGAATTTTCCCAGGGCAGTTTTCTGGAAGTATTCCACAAACTTCTCAGCATGTCCTGGAAAATGAGGATGCAGAAAAAAGCTAGATGTTAGGAAGAAGCTGGTTTTGACACAGCATCTATCCTAGAGACACTGACACCTCATTAATCACTGATGCATCCAGCACTGATGCATCCAGAGCACTGAGGACGGACTCAGGCCAAGCCTTGTCAGCCCAGCACCGTGTCGTATTTCTGGAATCTCACCTTGTCATTAACTCTTGGCTGCTCCACAGCACTTTGAATGCAAGGAGAGAAAGATGAATGGTAAGAAGCACAAAGAAAAGCTGCCTGCACAGAATTCTGCTGGCTCACAGGAGCACAGAGGGACTGAAAGTGACTGCAGTGACAGGAGGGGCACAGCAATGACAAACCAGAGCTCAAAGGGCAGTGGATGGAGATGCTGAAGCCAGGCTCCCACCTTCAGTGTTTTGGATGCACTGAGCCTCCAACCACATCTCTTCCAGATACTCCTTTATCCTCCAGCTGAAGGGTATCTCATTCCCAGCATCAGCAGATACCATCATGTTGTTCTGCACCACGATTATCTCTGGCTGAGGGCTGGGCAGTTAAAAGGTCATTAAGGCACAGGGCTTTTGTCAGGGAAGCACAGTGCAGACAACAGAGGCAGAGGGCTGCAGAAAGCAACTGAGCCCTAGGAGGGAGGGGAGAGGGAAGGGAGGGAACTGCAGGACTCTGAGAAGAACAGGCTGAACTATGAACAGTGCCCTGCTGCCCTCCTGGAGCAGCCAACAAACAACATCCCTCTGCCTCGGGGGGTTAGAGCCAGTGCTGGGCTGCTCCCAGTGCTGCCAACCCAGCCCAGACCAGCCCTGCTGCTGCTCCCCCGGGCTCACCTGTTCTTCCCTGCACTCAGGAATTTGGTGTCATTGAAGATGAACATCCACAGCTTTGTCACCCAGTTTGCTCCTGACCTGACCAGCAGCTCCAGATTGCCATTCCTGTCTATGACAGCAATCAGGAGAGCCAGGAAGGGAGTGACCACCTTCTGCACTCGCTTCCACAGGGTGTGCCTTTGGGAAGAGAGAGATAGAGAAACCCAGAGGCAATGTGAGCAATGACATCAGCAAAACAGGAGGTGCCTGCCCTGAGTAACTAATTCTGTCACATGTCAGTATTCTGGTATGTGACAGAATCCTAATGCTGCCTTTATGGGAAAGAATACCACCAACAAAAAATCCTTGCACTTCTCTCACTCCTGGCTCACCTGTATCCCACTGTTCCACTCAAGCACTTGTGCATCCCTGTCCCAGTACAACCCCTTCAGCTCTAACTCACCCTTCCCCAGGACAGGCTAAAATTGCCTCCAGAGAGTTTCTACCACAGACTGGAGACTGACACTGCAAATGCTGAGATTACACAAAGCTGCTGTCTCTGCTGCACAGGTGCCACTTGCAGACCCTTCCTGGAAAGCTGCAGGTGACAAGGCAGTGCTGCTGTCCTCACCTGAAGGAACCTGCCTCCTGCAGAGCAGTGAGGTTGGAAGCTTCCCGAAGCACCCAGTTTTTTGGGTGAAGGGAATTTTCTTCTTGCTTCTTCAACAGGCTGGAGAGACGAGCCTTGGTTATCTTCAGGAAAGAGGCTATAAAACAACAGGGAACTTGTGTTTTCTCTTCTATTAGCTTGGACTCAAATATCCCACCAAGCACAGCATTTGACCGTTTTTCCAATAATTAGCCAAGTGGGGGAAAAACAGCCAGTACAGTGAGAGAAAAAGCCACCACCTAAACAGAAGAAAAACCCTACACCCACCACCACACTGCAGCACGGAGACATATTCTTGGGAAAGCCCCCTTGCCTGCACCACAGCAAGGACTTCTGCATCCCCAGTGAGCTGACTGTTTTGGTGGTCCCCAAATGTCCAGAGACTCCCTGCAGCACACACCTTTCAGCTCATCCTCTTCGGAGAAAAGGCCAAGCAGAATCTCAATTCGCCTCCTGCTCCGGCTCAGGTCCTCGTTCTGGTCCCGCAGCATGCCCACAGCACTCTGCACACAGGTCCTCAGCAGCACCGTGGTGTCCAGGATCTCATCCTGCCCAGGAAACAAGGTCATTCCCCTGGAGTGACCCTCGTGTCCCCAGCACACTCCCTTGAAAGGTTTCCAGGGCTCCCACAAAGGGCCTGCTGCCTAGCATCCCTGTTCCCAGCTTCCCTCAGCTCAGGCTGCAATTCTCAGCTCTTTTGCTGTCAAGAACATGATGCAGCTTCTGTGGCCCTTTCAAACTGGCCTGTGACACAGCATTTGTGCTGAGTTGAGATTCCTGCAGGGGAAAGATTCAGCAGTTTGAAGAAAGAAATGGAAATAATCAATGTGACCAGGGAAAATCTGCCCTTCCTAGGAAATGCTCTATGTCCCTGGTGCTGGGCATGTCCAGCTCAGGCTGCCAGGGGCACATGAGGCAGTGTGAATGTGGCTGCAGCACAACCAAGTCCTAAGCCAGCTCCAGCTCCACCTCAGAGCACACAGCTGGAGTGAGGCTCAGGACCACAGCTCCCACCTCCAGGGGGAGAAAGGCAATAGAAACTCTTAGAGCTGACTTTTAAAAATCAGAAGAACAAAACTACTAAGGAATTATAGGGTCCTTAGAATGGTTTATTTCTTTAGTGATGCTGATTTTGACTGGGTAGTGGGGAGGAGGAACTTGTATCTGATCAGTAACATCAATGACACAAATATTGCTGATTGGTTTCAGGTGAAGGGAAACACAAATGGTGGGTTGCACCCATGGATGACAAAGCAGAGAGCCACAGTGACAGCTGAGAGGCAAACAAATGTATTCTGAACTGACCTCATGGTGCTCTGCTCCTGGCACTGATGCTCCAACCTCCACCTCCTCCTGCTGTGCTTCTCCATTGGCAGGCAGAGCTGCAGCTAAGGTGCAGAATTTTTGTTAGAAAGCAGCAGTGCCCCCTCCATCAGTCAGATGAGAGTTTATTTTAGCAACTGCATCCCAGAGCAGCAGAACATCTGTCAGAGATCCATTAGCACCTGCATGAGTAGCTGAGATTCACCTCAAAGACAGCTACAGCTGCTCAGGCTCTCAGGCTTCATGCAGCAAGAGTTGGAAGAAATGTGACACTGAGCTAATGCCTTAAGCTTTCCCTGACTCCTGTCAGGCAGTGTGGTGAAAGGAAAGAGAGTAAGGGGAAAGAAAGATCCTTGTCAGTCTCTGCCATGCAGCATTTGCTACCTCCTGTGCTGGGACAGAACACTCAGGCTGCTGAGCAGTGCAAATGCCATATTTTTGTCAAAAAGAAAAGGGAAAATACCAAATTAACTTGCTTGATGACCTGAAGTTGTAGTAATGAATTAAATACAAGTTGGGAGCCAGGTGGTGACCCCCACAAAATCGGGTGCTGAGCAGGGAAAGTCATCAGATACATTGTGCCATGCATCAGTTCCTGTAGTACCAATCTGGAGCCACAGCTCCCCCTTTCCCCAGCACACAGCTCACCTCTGGTTGCACCTGGATCCTGAGAGAACACCTGGCTGATGGTGAGGTTCTGCAGGGCTGTCAAGTCAGAGATCATGTCCTTGGATCTGCGGAGGTCGTCGATGTGCACCGACTGCCACAGCCCTACAGGCACAGAACAAGGAATCACTCCCAGCCTGCAGCTTGTTCTTCCAGAAGAGCTCCCCCAGAAATACCTGCCAGCCCCCGGGGTTACCTTCAGAGGTTACTAACTCTCATCTCTTGCTGTAAAAGGGGAAAGCACAATGCCCTCAGAACCTGCTGCTGCACACATCCCTGACAGTTCCAAGGTTCTGAGGCTCTCAGAAGCCCCCAGACCCAAAGGAACTTTGCTGGACACATCAGCACCTGCTCCAGAGCCTCTGGAGGACAAGACATCCACAGAGTTACCCTTGTGGCTGTGTGCTGCTTTCAGCTGACTGGAGAGGGGACCTGTCTGTCAGCAGGCAAGGCAAGGTGCTCCCAGCCAGGACTGCCAGGTACTGATCCCCTGGGCAGTCCCGTGGGACAGGGAAGCATCTCTGACAACCCACAGGACACACTGAGTCCAGGTTTTCAGCATTTAAAGGAAGAATGAGCAAGAGAAATGATTGCCTGAAGGCAGCTGAAGAGTGAAGATGGACTGATGGGCACACGCACCTCCATGGAATCCCATGTAGGATGTTCCTCCTTCCAGCCGGGAAAGCTTCACGATAAAGTAAACAAAGACAGAGACCTCCCCCAGGTCCACCTTGTTGATCTCATTGACAATGGTGTACCTGCAGCAAAGAGGAAATGCTGATGGCAGAGCAAAGGCACACAGAGGCCCATGGCCACAGGTCTCTCCTCAGAGAGGACACATGTCCTCTCCCAGAACAGACACAGGTGACTCCCACTCCTTCCTCCCAGCTGTGGTGCTGAGCTGCCACCTCCAGCTGTGTCCTGAATTATCCCATGACCCTCAGCCCTTCAGGACTTCTGCAGGCAGTGGCCAGAATTCACACTACAAAGGGGATTATCTGCTCATTTCAACCAGTTTCGCTTATTCTGACTTGGGATATGGATTATTTGAAATACAATCCATGCATTTAGATCCATTCTGCTACAGTATAAATTCTGCAAATTCCTGAGTGTGAGATCCCCAAACAGGACCAATAACCAAACACAGAGAGGAGTGGCCAGGCAGAACTGAACCATTCCACACTGCACTCACCTGGCTGAGGTGATGAGATGGGCATCCTTAGAGCCATCTTCAAAGTCTGTCTGAACAATGAGGACTTTATTTCCTGAAGTGGAATCCAGGAAATCGCTGAAGAGTGAAAAGAGATTTAATGAAAGTTACTAAGTATAAAGATCAAACATTAGAGACCACAGAACCAGCCACTCCACATTAGCTTTGGCTGCTGCAGGAGGAGAGAGAAAACCACGAAATCCCATTTCATGTGATGGAGCTGACAAGGTTTGTCCCTTATCAGCAGATATCTGGGCAGAGCCAGCCCACTGCCAGCACAACCTCCCTTTTCCATATGTGCTATTCCGAATGCTCTGCCCATGCACCTTCCACACAGCTGAAGCCCATTCCAAGCAGGAAAACATCGGCCCAGACTCACCGGATGCACTTCAGGAAGGAGTACTCCGTGTCAAACTGCTGCAGGAACAGGATCTGGGGCCTCTGGGCCTTGCCCTGCAGCACCAGCGAGGCGCAGGCATCGGCGTGGTAGCCCACGAACGCGTCTGCAGGGCTGTACTGCTGCTGGCTGATGTAGAGCTCCTCCGTGTTGACCACCGCGAACTCCTGCACCCATCGCTCCAGCTCCTGCACGGCCTCCCTCTGGCCCTTGTCCAGCACGGTGCTGATGTCCAGGTAGTGCTTCTCCAGCCGGTTGATCAGCGGGATGGGGAAGTGCTTGTACACCACCCCCTTCTCCTCGATGACGATCAGGCGAAACTTGGGGTGCACCCGGCACTTCACCCGGTGTGTGCCCAGCCCCAAATCCACGTACTTCTGCCCAGCCAGGTACACGTAGTACTGGTTGAGGGCATCGTAGAGGCTCTCGTAGAGGTTCTGCAAGTTGAGAAGCACAACCATCTGGCCAGTTTCCATGCAGACCTTCACTCGGTTTATGTTTCTGCATATCTGGGTGTATTCTTGGTCCTTGGGAAAACCGGAGCCAAAGATGATTTCTGGCTGCTGTCGAGCAGTGAAAAAAGTCTGCTGGAGGATCTGCAGCGCCGCACAGTTCTCAGTCAACACAAGCAGGTACCTACAGTCCCCATCCTCAGCACTGCTGTAAATGTTCTGTCGGATCAGCTCTATCCTACTGATATCACAAGCCTGTATCTCCCCTTTTTCTGGCAACTTGGAAGTGAATATTTCCAAGGCATCGACATCATCTTTGCCACCAAAGTTACGAAGAACCACTGTGGCAATGTCCTGAGGTGTGGGGTCCTTTTTGGAGCTCTTAGCTAAGGCAAAAAACATCTTTATGAGGCTGTAGTAGTCACGCAGGCCAAAGAACTCCCTGTCTTGGTCCTCACAAATGTTTTCATATGCATCTGCAAAGTGATGAAAATACTGTTCGACCTTCTGCAGGGCCCCTCGTGCTGAGCAGCAAATGCCCTTTGCGCTCTCAATGAGCTCCTCTCTGCTGGGGTCCCCACGAGACACAAAGATGCCTCGATTCATCTTAGCAGGGTCCAAAGCCCAGTTGGAAATCCCGATGAAGCCAACCTTTTTGTGAGGATCAGGAGGAACAGGATCTGGGGCCTCTGGGCCTTGCCCTGCACCTCCCTCTCCAGGCAGGCAGCATCAGCGCTGGTGAGCAGCCGTGAGAAGGTGGTGACCTGGAGAGAGAGGGGCAGCAATGCAGCACCTGCGCTCAGAGGGCTGCCAGCCTGCTGCAGTGCCCCCCAGCCTGCTGCAAAGCTGCACTGCACTGCCCCCCGGCCTGCTGCAGAGCTGCACTGCCCCCCGGGCTGCTGCAAAGCTGCACTGCCCCCCGGGCTGCTGCAGAGCTGCACTGCGCTGCCCCCCAGCCTGCTGCAGAGCTGCACTGCGCTGCCCCCCAGCCTGCTGCAGAGCTGCACTGCCCCCATGGCCTGCTGCAGAGCTGCACTGTGCCCCAAAATCACCACTTATTTGCTGCCAGCTCTGCACACCCGGCACTGCAGTGCACGCAGGTGGTGCCACGCTGCAGCCCGGGCACACGGAGATGAGCAGGGTCAGGAGGGCTGGCAACACCCCAGCCTCACCTCGGTGAAGGCAGTCTGGGGCCCGGCCTCTGCACGCACGTGGGCGCCCAGGAAGTCGGCGAAGGAGGTGTGCTGCTGCTGCCTGAAGTAGGTGCGGGCCAGGGAGTGCGCCATGAACTCCCCCATGGAGTTGCGGAGGCGGATGACGGCGTCAGGGGTGGCACAGTTGAGCAGGGCCAGCCGCGCCTGCTCGGTGACGCGGGGCAGGAGCTCGGCAGGGGCGCAGGCCGGGCGCAGGCGTTGCGTGCCCTGCAGCACCAGCGAGGCGCAGGCATCGGCGTGGTAGCCCACGAACGCGTCTGCAGGGCTGTACTGCTGCTGGCTGATGTAGAGCTCCTCCGTGTTGACCACCGCGAACTCCTGCACCCATCGCTCCAGCTCCTGCACGGCCTCCCTCTGGCCCTTGTCCAGCACGGTGCTGATGTCCAGGTAGTGCTTCTCCAGCCGGTTGATCAGCGGGATGGGGAAGTGCTTGTACACCACCCCCTTCTCCTCGATGACGATCAGGCGAAACTTGGGGTGCACCCGGCACTTCACCCGGTGTGTGCCCAGCCCCAAATCCACGTACTTCTGCCCAGCCAGGTACACGTAGTACTGGTTGAGGGCATCGTAGAGGCTCTCGTAGAGGTTCTGCAAGTTGAGAAGCACAACCATCTGGCCAGTTTCCATGCAGACCTTCACTCGGTTTATGTTTCTGCATATCTGGGTGTATTCTTGGTCCTTAGGAAAACTGGAGCCAAAGATGATTTCTGGCTGCTGTCGAGCAGTGAAAAAAGTCTGCTGGAGGATCTGCAGCGCCGCACAGTTCTCAGTCAACACAAGCAGGTACCTACAGTCCCCATCCTCAGCACTGCTGTAAATGTTCTGTCGGATCAGCTCTATCCTACTGATATCACAAGCCTGTATCTCCCCTTTTTCTGGCAACTTGGAAGTGAATATTTCCAAGGCATCGACATCATCTTTGCCACCAAAGTTACGAAGAACCACTGTGGCAATGTCCTGAGGTGTGGGGTCCTTTTTGGAGCTCTTAGCTAAGGCAAAAAACATCTTTATGAGGCTGTAGTAGTCACGCAGGCCAAAGAACTCCCTGTCTTGGTCCTCACAAATGTTTTCATATGCATCTGCAAAGTGATGAAAATACTGTTCGACCTTCTGCAGGGCCCCTCGTGCTGAGCAGCAAATGCCCTTTGCGCTCTCAATGAGCTCCTCTCTGCTGGGGTCCCCACGAGACACAAAGATGCCTCGATTCATCTTAGCAGGGTCCAAAGCCCAGTTGGAAATCCCGATGAAGCCAACCTTTTTGTGAGGATCAGGGACATCATCTACGCAGCCATCCTCCAAAAGTGGATGCAAAGTCTTCAAGGGCATTTTGGGAGAGTCTTCTGCCAGCCCAATCTCATCCAAAACCACCACTGATACATACTCCTCCAAGTTCTTCCCTTCCTGGAATCGAGCACAGTGCTTGAAAGTGCCTATGATTCCCTCTGGAGTGGAGAGGGGGCTACACTGAAAAGACACGAGATGGATCTGCTTCAGATGCTTGAACAGATCAGAATGAGCTGCTTGGCCCTGCATAGCATCAGCCACGATGGTTTTTGCCAGGGATTTGGAGCTTCCAGGCTTCCCAACAAGAAAAAGAGGGATTTTCAGCTCAATACAGATGACCATCATGAAGACATTTTCCTTCAAGGCCAAGTTCCTTGCTATGGTATCCTGGAGTGGCACCCCACTCAGGAATAAGTCCTGTATCAGGGAGATTTCTTCCAAAATCTTTTTCTGGGTATTGTAAGGCTTTGGGAGGACCTGGCTGATGGCAGTCCTGTATGGCTCCTTCCTTTCCAGGGACGCGTGGTAGCAGACCCCAACCGCCAGCACCAAGGACCAGATGACACCGTTTCTGTCACCACCGCCCTTGGGAGCTTTCCTCTCAGCCCGGCACTTCTCCAGCTCCCTCAGCAGCATATGGCTGTGCCTGTAAAACCACTTGAACACCTCCATGCAGCGCTCCACATCCCGCAGGCTGACAAAGCTGCACTCATCATCCGTTTCCCTCATGTACTGCTGGGAGGCAAAGAGCACCTCTGTGACCACCCTCACCTCGTCCTTGGCCATGGGCAGCTGCTCCGCCACGCGCTGCACGATCTGCTGGATGTACTTCTTCTCCATGTGGTTGTTGAGCTGCCCAAAGTCCCACACCAGCAGGATCATGCTGGGCGGGAGCGCATGCACCCGGTACACAAGCTGTCTCAGTGGGATAGATCCCAGCTTCTCCCGGGTGTTGTCAGCCTTCACCCGGTAGCCCAGTCCAGCCAGCTCCAGGCGTTCAATCATCCTGTCCGTGTGCTTCCGGTAGGGATTGCAGGCTGCGATGATCTGCAGGCCAGAGCCAGAGACCAAAGGCTCCCCCTGCACCGTGTGGTCACACAGAACCTCCTTGATGCTACCCACAGCCTCTGTTGTGTTGGCTTCGTCGAAAAAGAGGATGGTGTCCAACCCGTGCTGCTCCTTGTTGGATTTAGCCAGGGCTTCTGTTTCTCTGATCCTGGCATAGATCATTTCTGCAGTGGTGCCTCCATGAACCTTGACAAGTTTCATGTTCTCCACCTTTACAGATCCTCTGCGTAACTGGCACAGGAACTTCACCAGCCTGGTTTTCCCACAGCCTGTTTCTCCCATGATGACCACCGGGATGTTGCAGCGGAATCGCATCTCTATGGCCAAGATTTTCAGCACGTTGTCTGTGGTGAGCTCATACGTCTTGTCGGGGTCAAACACTCTGGGGAGCCCCAGCACCATGCAGAGCCTCTCGAGCTTCTCATTGCGGGTCAGCTGATCGAAGGGCACATTGAAGGGAACCCTCTGCAGTAACAAGCCCTGGTACAGCTGGGCAGTCATGATGTTCTTCTTGATGACATTCCCATTCAGAGGATTGATGGCATCAACGTGATTTCTGGTCCGATGGAAGTGGAAACCAATGAATGTCATGGACATACGATCCCCATTGAAAAACAGATAGGGATGAGGCTCTGACTCCCACTTCTTCCTGATGTGGAAAGGAAACAGATCTTCCTCTGCGACGTTCTCCAGGTGGGAGGATTGTCTTCCTGAACTCTGGTCGGAAATGCTCAGGGAGGGCGTCGCAAAATCCCGCGCCATTAAAATCATAAAGCCAACCACAAAGTTCTTGAACCCATTCAAAATGTCCCCAACACAGCCAGGGCTGCAAAAGACAGAAGCCTCACAGTCTCTCAACTGAATGTTGAGGAACCAGGTGAAGTTGCGGAGCTCTGCCCAGGAGGGATCCACAACCCCGCAGTGCAGAAGGAAGAGCTGCAGACATTCTTTATGGCTGCCTTCCACCGAGAGTGCCTTGTACCAGAACGTGTCCAGGTCACAGCCCTGGTCAAACCTCTTCAGATACTGGAAGGGTCTCTGAAAAGCCTCACTGCAAAATTCCTCCTCGTCCATTCCCACATCCCCAGAATGGTTCTCAAGTGTCTCCATTTCTAGCACTTCTTTGGGAGACTTGCACATTATTTTAGGGAACACATCCAAGAAGTGATACTTCTGGTGCACTGACGTCTGGACAAGAGAAAAAAAAAGGTCATCACAAAGCTGTAGCCTCAATCTTCAACAGCTTAGTTAATCTGTTCTTAAAAACCTCCTTGCCTAAAACTACAGACCTGGGGAAGAGGAGCCAGCCTTTTACCCGTGCATCCCTTCTTCCACTTAAAGTGCACCGAGGAATCCTATTCCCACCTACATTTCCCTTCCAGGAACATGAGCCTGGCATCGCCTCCAGCCCCTTCTCAGGGCTACTTCAAAGAAAACAAAACCCAAGAATCTGCCGGTATTTATTCCAGTCACTCCTACATTCTGCTCTTACAGCTGCATATAAATATTCCCCTACTTTCAAACATACAAATTAACATGAGGGAGATTAGATTTTGCATTTTTATGTTTCCTATAAACATTACAGTGGGGGCAGTGAGGCTTGGATTAACAGGCCTTCAGAAATCACCAACCCAAGGAAACCAGACAGGCCTAATTTGCTGTCTGGTGTAAATGTCACAACACCAGGGACACCAGTTCGTTATGGGATACAGCACACTCCCAATGAAACACGGAACTCTGTGCTGTGTTTACAGCTACAGTCTCTACAACTCACCGCAGCTATGTACAAATATGTGCAAAGTGACTGAGAAATTCCCAGGAAAGGAGCATTGCTGGTACGTACAGATCTGGCTGCTGTCTTTGGCACTGGGGACACCTCCAGGATTTCAATGATATACAAATGACACTTCTGCCGTAGCCACATATTGCCATTATTATCTGTCAGGTACTGCAAAACCAACAGCTTGAAAAGAAACTCTGGAATTCCACGCTGCACCTATCACAAGGAGAGATACCAAGGCATTTCCTCTTTATTTACCCCCCACAACTTGACAGAATCACAGAACAGTTGAGGGTGGGAAGGCTCTCTGCTTAAAGCAGGCCCAGCTAGAACAGGCCCACATTCGGTCAGGTTTTTAACATCTCCAAGGTGGACACTCTACAGCTTCTCTGGGCAACTGTTCCAGAGTTCAATCACCTTGATGGTATTTGCGTTACTTACACAATAATAAGAGAACACTTGCTAGGGAAACGGCTAGCTGAGAAACAAGAGCTTTAAAGAAAGCTCCTGCAAGGGTCCTCACAGGACTTGTGGGACAAGGCAGCTGTGGGAGGGATGTACTCACTGAGGAGGTGATGTCAAAATGGAATATCATGGGCTTTGTCTGGTGTTCTCTCTCCAGAAAAGGCAGGAGAGATTTTAGCACTTTATCTTCATCCACTTCTGGTTCAATAAGTCTGACGGTTTTCAGAAGTTCTGTGCAGTCAGGCTGCTCTTCTTGCAGTCTCTCATGCAGCCTCTTCACATACAGAGATTTCCCTGTTATTAAAAACGCCACAAGAATCAAAGTCATCAACATCAGATAGATCACATTAAAAGTACAATAGAATGAAATAAAATATTTAAGTACCCCATGCCCTACAATCTCTGAAGCTTCCTGAAAGGCATCCCAGAACAAAGTCTAAATCTGATTTGCGCAGCTGTAGCCTAGAATCCAATACATTGCTCTTGTTACCATAAGGTTTGTTTTCCTTCCACCGCCTGAAAGAAGCTTTACTCTTTATGAGGACTTGAATCTATTTCGTGCTTGTTTCTAAAGTCAAACCAGGGGACAAGGTGACTTTGAGCTTTCACCTCCCTGCACTGACCAGTCTGAATTGCTCTTTTTGACCAAGATACTTAAGTTTTGGACACAAAACGTGGCAAGGTGAACCCCACCCTGGTTTTGAGCTCTCAGCAGAGCCCACTCTGCACATGCCATCTTACCCATGCCAGCTCTTTTGGAGGACACAATCCCAACACACATGTGCTCCTTGAACACAGCTGCAGCCGAGCTGGAGGGGTGAGCCACTCGGAAGTGGTGCTGCAGGTACTGCTGGATATCTTCCTGTGATCTCTGGGGAATCATGTTCACCTTGTAGTGGCTGAAGGCAGAGGGCAGGTAGCTGTTCTCCCGCTCGCAGTTGCACAGGATGATGAGCCTGTAGGAGCTGTTGTAGCACTGCAGGTGCTGAAACAGCTTCTCTGTCCTGCAGCTGACGTCGTAGCTCAGCTCATCTGCATAGAGCATGGTGTAAATCTTGTCCCCACCCTGGCACGGAATGAGGCACCTGCGCAGGAACAGCCCCACCTGCTCTGCGCTGGTCTGGGGTGTGCACAGCAGCACCTCGTCGAAGGTGGGAAGGGGCTGCTTGGGGCTGTTCATGTAAATGGCCAGGGCAGAGCTGAGCACCTCAGAGCGAGGGCAGGTGATGAGGTTGGGCTGGCCCACACAGAGCAGGTCCTGAGGGAAGTCTCTGGTGACACATTCCCTGCCACTGCTGGCCAGGTTCTTCAGCCACACGCTCAGTGTGTCCACGTCCAGGCAGTTGGGGAGGAAGGAGCCCATGTTGTTCATGTAGCACTCCCAGATGCGCTCCAGCCGGGCGCTCAGGTCCCTCTCCCCATCCAGCAGCACTTGTAAGTCAGAACCAGCCTTCCCTGATCTGGGAGGGCCCTGGCTCCTGAGGGCTGTGAGGACATCCTGTTTAGTGCAGTGGGGGTTGAGGAAAGAGAGCATCATAAGGGCAGCCTGGCTAGGGCTGCCACGGCCCAGCTCCGAACACAGGTACACCAGCTGCTCCGCGCTGTAGTAGTTCAGATAGAAATGCTCACGTCGCCTGGCATTCATGAAGCTTTTCCAGCTCTCCAGGAAACTCTCCATGGTCTTGCAGAGGGCTGGGAGCACAGCTGCCATATCCCCTTGCCCTTCCAGCACTGGGATGGGGCCCAGGGAGAAGTCTATAAGAACACAGGATTCTCTGTGAGGTGAACAATACACCTGGGCAAGCCAGGAGCGGAAAAGCATGTTCCCAGCTGAGTGAAGGTCTATAAAGGCCTGGGCAAGTCTCTGAACATTGGAAAAGACCTGTGAGAAGACAGAGGAGAAAGAAACAAGCTGATTTGCAAGTTTCAGCCATGAAACCCCTGGAAAGACATTCAATGAAGAGAAAGTCTTTGGTCCCAAAGTATGTCAGGCCTTGTACAGCAACCACAGACTCTCTGTGACTTTTTAATAGCCCCATCCCCAGGAAATCAGTAAGGAACTCCCAGCTTGCTACAAAATTACAGTGATGCTGCCAGCCAGGACAATCGCCAGTGCAGCCAGAGGATAAGGCCACCAGCTCACTCTTCTGTCTGCAGCTCAGTTCCATTTTAGCAAGGAACCACAGGCAGGAACACCCATGTGCCTGGGACCACCACCCCCAGCAACTCCACTGTCAGCCACAGCCTTAAGAATCTTACACTCAGGGGTAAAACCAGCCCTGGCTCAAAACCAGGGTTTGGAATCTGACCTCAGAGAACCTCTCCACCTCCAGGCCTTGCTCTCCCTTGGCAGACATGAGCATCAGTTTGTTCTGCAGCTCGCGGAGCTCTGCCAGCGAGTACTTCCAGGAGGCCTCAGTGTCCCCCGAGGTCGCTGGGAGGGTGAAGTGCAGGACACTGTCCAAGGAGACCTGCCAAGAGCAGATGCTGTCAGCATGGCTGGGGCTGAGGTTCTGCACAAGGCCAGGGCAGCAGCCCCAAGGCAGGAGGGGCAGCGGGAGCTGAGTGACCTCAGCCTCACCTTTTGGCCATCAGCTGGTGCCCTCAGCACATAGACCCCTCTGCTGTTGATGGCAGCTGCCAGGGACAGTGAGGACAGCTCCACAGAGCCATGGCTCTCCTTCACTGTCTTCAGCCACTCCAGGTGCTGAGCTGAGGCACGCTGTGGGGAGAGGAAACACAGCACTGCCCCGACTGCTCTGAGATCTGATCTCTGCTTACACCTGACCAGGACAAACAGCTTGGGCTGGCAAGAGTTTCATGATGGGGAAGGAAGAAAGGAATGAGTACTGGCTTCAGCCTGCCCTTTCTGCACAGCTCTTCTTTACCCACTCCATAGGAGGCTGAACAGAGCCCACAGTGCTCCATCACCTCTTGCTACAGAGGCAGGCCCTGCTGCAAAAGGATAAGAGCTCCCAGGCACCTGCCTTCCCTCTTTCACACCATCAAACCTGCATGAGCCAAGCCACACACCACACTGGAAAGCCTCACAGCACTCTGGAGAAACCTGTGCTACACCAGCTACAGTTGCTGCAGTGAATTTTTGTGCCGCGGGAACATCAGCTGTTTTTCTTCCAATAACAAGAGCAGCAGTAATGCCCCAACACAGGTGCCATTTGCCCAGTGCAGCCCAACCTCCAGCCACTTCTGGAAGGCAGAAGGGCAGGAGGATGCAAAGACCCTGCTCCAGCAGAACTCACCAGTTTCTCGGGGAGGGTTTTATCGCTGTCCAGGGCTCGCCACAGCTTTGGCAAGCAGCTCATGAAGTCCTTGAAGCCCGAGTCCTGGTGGAGCTCGTAGAGCAGGGAGGAGTAGCCGTGCACAGCGCCATGGAAACAGGCCACACGGTCCACGTCCATGTCATTCTCCCCCGCCGAGATAGAGGCCAGGTCAACAAATACCTTCAGCTCATTTATGTCTGAAACAGGCAACACAGGAGTGAGCAACATGTGAGGCAGCTTGGAGACCAGCCCTCACCACCACCCTCTACGGAAATGCCAGAAGAATGCTTTGAACAGCAGCTCCTGTGTAACTGCCCATGAGCTTTCCCAGGCCATCCATCCACGGACCCCCACAGACCCCCAGATCCCCAGGTAGGATGGGATCGGTGCCTGGGGGTGTGTGCAGCTGATGGTGTCCGCGCAGGTCAGACAGCTCAGCTGGCAGACACACAACACCATCCCCTGAAACAAGAGGTCTGAACTGAGCAGCAGCAGCTGCTGAAGCCCTCCAGGCCCAGCCCAGCCCCCAGCAGGTTGGTCCCTGTGCGCTGCACCAGTGCATGGGCACGCTTAAAGCATCCTCATAGCATGTTCTACACCAAAGCCCAACAGAGATGTAACTCTCAACACCAGAAGCTGCAAAGGCACAAAGCACATGGGTCAGGGATTCAGTGTTCCTTCTGCCCCCACACAAACTGCCATCCCTTCTAGAACTCTCTGTCTAATTCCTGGGTGAGCAGCACACACCTTTCAGTGCTTCTCTGACCCAGCAGACAAATTTCTTCTGCTGGGCGAGTTCCCTCAGACAGCTACGGCGGGGCACAGTGATCTCCTGCAGCAGCTTCTTGGTGTCCATGAGCTCATGGCTGATGGAATCCAGCTTCTGGGTCTTGTAGGATTCAAGCTTTTCTGTCTGGAAAGCAAGTGGTGCAAACACACACTGAGTCTGCAATTGGGGAATGTCACTGGTTCTGCAGCAGGGAAAGGAAAGACCTCTGCAAAGCTACACCCCAACAGAGCAGTATCATCATCTCTCTTTAAGGAATGACGACACAAAAGCACTTGGAACATCTGAATTTTACCTCAAATAAGCATTTTGGGATAAGGAATGACTCTTTACAGACTGGGATAGACTTGTGGGAAGGTTCGAATTTAGCCAACACCCTGACAGTAACAAGCCGAAGTCACAGATACTTACTATATGCAACAAGTTTTCCAGGATACTGAAGTCACCAGAGAGGTCTAAACTCTCTTTCACACGGGTAATGATCTTGGCAGCCTCACAGCTTATATTAGTTCCATGGTACCACTGGATCTGCCGCACTCGCTCGTTAACCCAGCCTCTGTTCTCTGCAGGCCGAAGCTCACAGATGGTGTTCAGCTCTGCTGTGAGATCTTCAGGATCATTTCTGAATTCCTGGAAAATTCTATCAACTGCAAAAAGTGTGAGACTTCCTGATGTGAGTTCATCATACAGCTTTGCATAGCTGTTGAAGCAAGGGCGGATTATGCTGTTCAAAATATCATTAAGGTCCAGCTCAGGAACAATCTCCTCCTCATTCTCCTCTGAAGAGTCACACTCATGCTTTTCTCCTACCTTCTCTACTGCTTCCTCCCAGAACTGCTGGAAGATAAGGCTGCCCTTAAAAAAGTGCATTTTTTGGACAAACTCTTTCAGCTCTGGGCTCAGGCTGTAGAAGGTCTGCAGGGGTTTCTTTCCCACCATCACAACTTGCTCCAGTCTTTTTGAGCGAAGATCTACTGAGTATTGAAATTCCACCTCACCTAAAACCACTGTAAACCAGAGACAGGCCAGAGGGAGATCAGGTGGTGCAACCTGGCTCCAGTTCACTTCATCCCATCCCCCAAGCCACAAAATACTACTAGGCATAGGTGGACCCCTCAAAGTATCATTTGATGCACAAGCACTCACTTGATCCCCACCCAGTGCTCTGGGTTTACTTCCCCCACCCCTCCTCACCCTCACTTTGGGGCTTAGAATCAAACCTGTTCCCAAAGCCAAGAGATTTTCAAGGAAAATGCTGTTTTCCAGACTTGCCACTTTCAGACTGCTCCCCCAGAACTCTACCTCTCACAGGCTTCTGCATCCCCCGGCACATTCTCAGGAAGGTTCCTATTTCTTCTTTCTCTCTTCTAAGCTGTGTGACTTCTTCGTGCCTCAATGCCAGCACTCCTTTCAGGCCTATCTGGAATTGCTCCTTTTCCTTATTTGGCCATTGCTGGTGCACTGAAAGAAAACTCACCTGTAGTCACAAAGCAGACATTTCCCAAGCCCTGCATCCCAACTCAGGTTGGGAACTGCAGAGTCACAAACCCTGCAGTGACAACACAAACTGGAGCTGGGAGATCCCTGCCCAGGCCAAGGAGCAGCACTCCAAACTACTGCAGCCCCTCCTGAGCATTCCCAACCCCTGCAGCCCCTCCTGAGCAGACCAGCATCACAACAGTGATGCTCCAAGCCAACCATGCCCCTTTGAACCCATCTCTTACTTGTCTCCCAAATGCAGAGGAACTGCTCCTTGTGCTGGAAAACCTCCTCCAGGTGTTTCACGAGGACGCAGCCGCTGTGAATGTCGTCGGTGACTCTTTTAAGTGCAGATTCTGCTATGGCCAAGACATTCTTTGCTTCATCTGTGAGCTCGTCCAGAAGGTTTCCGTTTGTTCCTGTTCCACACACAAAGCATGTCACATTTCCCACAACACAGGCAGAATCAGGAACTTTTCCATGCCATGGCACGGAGTCCTTCCATTTCCTACTGAACCCCTACCCAAGAGCCTGTGGACTCACACCACCCTCCAACCCCTCATGTCTTTCTGAACAAAACCAGGATCCCAGGACAGCAATGTGGAAACTTTTTCCACAGAGAGCCCAGACCCAAACCATGTGGGGCAAACAAAAGCCATTTGGATCCGTTCACTTGGCCAACTCTTTGGCATTTTTGTGTGCCAATAACTTGTGAGAACTTCTCAGGGAAAGAAATTATGGTCCACAAATCCTGAGGAAGCTGTAGTGGATTAGCACAAGAGGAATAGTGGCTCCCTCTTCCTTGGCCTTCCCTCTCCAAACCCAAGCTGAATAGTTCAAGCTTTGAGATAGGGACTAAAATAAGAGCAGGACAATTTTTCTCTGCTGCTCTGTGCAGTGGCAGCAGTGAGGCAGAGAAAACTTCTCAGGGCCTCCTAAAACCCAACTACAGACCTACCTTTAAAGCTGAAGATATGTTTGATGTCAGGCCATGTAAGCAGGTGGTGCAGAATTGTATCAAAATCCCCCTCAGACTGCCCAGCCCTGACTAGCCACGAGTTCACCATGACAGCAGACACGAGCTGGCTGAACTGGCCCATGTTGTAGGCAGAGATCTGCTCCAGGAGATTGCTCTGCATCTGCCAGGGCACACAGAGAGGGCAGGGGTGGGTCAGACTCTGGGGTCCCACTGTGTCTGTGTCTCAGAACTGGCACTGATGCCAAGGAGTCACCTCCAGTGCTGAGGAATATTCCAAAGCAGCCCTGTGACACAACTGACACCAGAGCTCACCGTGGAAACACATTACAAATATTCCCCACGGACCTCATTTCCTGATTTCTTGTTGATGTTTTTTGTTGTTGGTTTAACAATCCTCAGCAACTCAAGCAACGTGCACCTCCCCTCCTACCACAAGGCACATCCCTGTGCAACAGAATTACTGTGAAATCCCACTTTTCTTTCTCCTCCCTTCCCTACTTTTCTTTTCCCCTACCAAGGCACACACAATACCTGGCAAGCTGCAGGTACAGCCTCTAGGGCACAGCTCTGGAAGCACTGGCTGATGGAGGAGTCCATCTTTGTGATGTCCTGATGCTCAGAACAGTACACCAAGATTTGTTTCACTGGAGGCTCCTGAAGGGCAAAAGGGAGATTTCTCATCAACTCAAAGTGTCTCTCCTGGCAGCATGAAACAGTGATGCTATCAAGACAATAAAAGGAACCTGAGCATCAGCCCATTTCCAAGGGCCTGGGGGAGAGGTCAAACAAATAAATGCTTGGAAAATATTTAAATGATTTCCATCTAAAGTGTGTGATTACTTAATATCCACCTCTCCAAGCCAAGCTCACAGCAGAAAATATTTGTTTCCTGACTTCACCATGAAAATCAATGGCTTAAGGAAATGTGTAACTGCTGTAGAAAGGAGATGAGGAGACATACTGTGTCAGTTTGGAAGGGACTAACACATGTGAGTGTGCATTTGGGAGCCTGAGCAGCACCATTTCTGCACAAGGAATGAAAAGAGAGGCACCAACTTGGCTTCTCTGAGCCCCTGGGTGTTTACTTTCCACTTGCTGGTTCTTAAAACCACAGAGGTGACAATTGTTCAGAACATGGATTTCCTCTGAAGCACCAGACCCTGCAGCCAGGCCACTGACCAAGATTACAACGTGAGACATTATCATGGCCAACTGCTGAGCCTTCAGAACCTGGTTCACAACAGCAATAGCAATTGTTATGGCCAAAGCCACTGTGTTTACACATGCTCCTGCTCCAAGCACAGCACAAGTGTGGCGGTACCAGTTGTGAGTTTCTCTGCGTCTGGATTGAAGGCACTTGAGATGGTAGTTTCATGTTCAGACTCAGGTGTTTATTATTTCTTACCAGTAAAACAAAATCTCCTGTTACAAGGTCTTTTAAGACTAAACTATCCAATTAAGAACTACACCTAGATTATTTTCCCTTTTAACCCAATAACTGATCCCACAGAGCCCACAATACGAACTTTCTGTCCAGTTACAAAATGTCACCCAAACCCATGAAGAAGCAGCATGAAGAAGAAACCCAGGATGACACCCTGTGCCCTCCATCTTGCTTCCATCCACAACATACTAAAAACCCAAAACCTAAATTTCTCAGCAAGTGATACACCTACACTACTCTCTACAACCTATTTCACACTTTTGTGGATTCTAGTCTATCTTGAAGTCTAGGAAGCTTTCTCCATGAATGACAGTCAAAGTCAGTGCTCCCCTGGGGGTCAGGACACCGCACAGCACTATTCTTAGTGCCCTGGGTTTCCACACACAAGTCACTCCATCTGCTCTGGACACCAGCCAAGGCTGCCTGGAGTCTCCCCTACCTGCTGGATTCTTTTCTTCAGATCTGCAAGTAAAGCATTCCTCCATTTCTGGGTGAAGTTCTTATCTGGAAAGCTGATTTTCACAAACGTATCCCAGACCTGCAGGGGACAAGCAACCCAACCCAAACCATGGAGTGCTGAGATTTAATAGGAAAATTAAAAGAAAGGAAAATAAAAGAAAGGAAATTAAAAGAACAATGCAGAAGAGATGTCCCACACGCCTCAGACAGTCTGCAGCCCTTTCAGATGTTTCCATTCTGAGGAAAAGGAACACTCCCAGAGCTGCAAAAGGCAGCTTTTAAGCCCAAACAGTATGCAAATGTCTCAGCTGCTGAAGGAGACATTTGGATGAGCCACTTCCACCCTGCTGCTGGAAACTGTCCCAAGGAGGGCCAGGAGCAGCAGCTCAGACTGGCAGGGCTGCTCTGAGCTTTGCCTGCTAGAAGGCCTGAGAACAACCAGTGGGACACACTGGGAGCAAGATAACACCAAGGGGCAGCTCCTCACCCCAGCAATGCCTTTAGGAACAGCCAAGGAAGAGCAGAACAGAGGTGTGCTTCAAACACTGCCCATCCCCACCCCACTCCTTAGCCAGCCACAGCTACAGAGCCCAGCAAAGAGCCAGCAGACTCAAGATTCTGGCTAAGCTACAGTAAAATCCCTTTTTATTGACATTATCAGAAGATGACAAACCCCAAGTTCAGAGGAGAAAGAGAACACGCGGCCTGAGTGCTTCTCCAGTAACTTGTGTTGTAAAACCTTTCCGAACCAGGCACGAGTTTCCTTCAGAGCTCCACTGAGCAACTCTTCCACTGGAACTTCCTCCACAGCATCCCCTGAAACCTGCCCCACACAGAGGGGAAGACAACAAAATAAACACAGTTCAAGCAGGACAGCAATAGACAACAGATTTAAATCAGTATTTCTAAAGAGAAGACCAAAAGCATCCAGAACACACAAGAGCCCCACAACAGACCCAGCACTGCTTGAATGAAGAGCAGAGAGAGGCTGGGAAAGCGCAGTGCCTACAGGCAGTAAGCTTAAGCTTCTTCCAGGAAGACAACAAATGTTTAAGGGGAAACAAAACCCAACTTAAAACAAAGCTTATCACAGCAAACCTGAGCATCTGACCTTATTTTCAATAAGAACAAAACTCATCAGGTGACTTCATACCTGTCTGAAAGTATCACAGTCTTGCTTAGAGTGTGAAGTTCTTCAAACAGAGACTGGATCTGACCTAAACCCAGTGTGTTGTGCCACACTTGTAATATTTTTGGTACCTTGCTTGTATCAAGCCAAGAGTTCCTTGGTACTCACTGCTGGGGGCTGAAGCTGGGCAACCTTGGCAATCAGGGTGGCAGCAGTGGAAGGGATCAGGAACAACTCCACTGTCCTGGCAGCCTTGCAGAGCCTCTCGTGCAGCCTGAGGCAGCAGGACAAGCAGCACCACCAAGAAGGAGCCTCCAGAGGTCTGCAACACAGAGGGAGAGTGAATTTTCTGCTCCAAGGAAAAATTAAAAAATTAAAAACAAAGTAAAAACCCCACCAAATTCAATACAGTGTAGCAGCTACCTCCCTCAGATGGATTTAAAAGATGGCATAGAACGCCAGGATTTTTTTCTCCACAGAGATTTCAAGGTACACAAGCAGGACCCCAGCCCTGGTGCAGAGGCAGACAATGCTCTCACAGAGGTGCACTGCACTTACCTGGCTGGGGGCTCACCCAAGGCGTGCTGCACTGTGGTTAGAATCTTCACTACCACCTGAGACCGGAAAGACGAAAATATGAGACTGGGGAAGAAATTTTACAGACTGATTTCTGATTAGCTGAGGAGGAGGGAACTCGGTATCCTTTCGCATCTTCTCCAACATTTTTACAAATACACTGTAAAATAGCAGAACTTATTTACTGGATGTCAGAGCCAATACCTGGGCAGCTTTTATATGCACAAGCCCAACCTGTACTTCTTACAAGTTCTATTATTAGTTGCAAGGTCCTACTCCTGCTGTCCTCACACCAATACAAAAGTTTTCACAACAGCAGGAAATCTCCCAAATCAGCAGCCCCTTGCCCAGTTCTCCTGTGCAAAAAAACCAGTTTCAGGTACACGTCTGAGGAGGTCAGAATTAATACATCTGCCATCACTAACCAAGAGCAAATCCAGCTACGAATACCCTCCTCTCGTCAATACCAACACCACTTTTTGCTGCAGTTAAACCCCAACTCACCCCCTGAGGAGTCTCTGACTTCAGAGCAACTATTTTTGCTCTTAGCTAGGTTTGAAGCTCTTTGTGCTGTGACCTGCTGCCAGCCCCAGTCCCCTCAGTGATGGTCCGTTCTGCCAAAAGACACCCAGGAGCCCAGTTTGAGCCTCCATCCCAGAGCTGGGTAAAGCTGCCAGATGACAAACCTGAGAGTTATCCCATGAGAGCCCAACATTCTCCAATCTGTACAAAACACCTTGAAGAATAACTAGCGGGTCATTGCAGAAGTCTTTTATGAAGTCAGCCAGGCTCCACAGGGGCAGCACACAGAGCCAGGACTTAACCACAGTCCCATCTAATTCCACCAAGTATTTCTTTTCTCTCATTCGTGCCAGCAGGGTCCCTCTGGAAGGGAGACAAAAGAAAATCTTCAGGATTCCAGGGAACAAAAGGCTGTGAGCTTGTGCGGACCACAGAGGAGTCTCCTCCATTCCTGTGCTTTTGTCCCTGCGGCTAAGATCAGTGGGAGTCCCCAGGGCCCAGGGGTGGCACAGCAGAACCAAACCACTGAGCACAAGCACTCCAGGGAAAATAAACTCCAGACTCTACACAACAGGAGAAGCTTTAGCTCTCACCTGCTCCCTAGCTGGCAGAACTGGGGGGTTGTGTTTGTGGGGTCACACAGTGCCCAACTGGGCTACACTCAGTGACCTCTGAGCCACCAGTGTGGCTGTGCCCAAATACCCCAAACATCTTCCCTTAACAGGCTACATTTCATACTCTTTAAAAATGAGGGAGGGGAAAAACAAAAAGAGAGATTAGGAGGGCACTGGGAGGAACTGGGAGCTCTGGAAAACTCACACATCTCGCTTCCTCCTGGTTTCAGCAAATGGAAGCCCTTCCAGCCCTGCCCAGGCATCCTCTTTCACCAGCCCATGATCCTGCTGCAGGGGAGCAGCAAAGGAATGCAGAAGGGGAAGGACCCACACCCACTGGTCTACGTCACATTCCATGCACCTCTGGCAAAGGTCTGTCAGGTCAACCTTCAAGCTAAATTAAAAAAAAAAAGAAAACAAAACAAAGACACTGAGTGAAAGAACAGCTTTATCCTGGCCTTGAGAATGAAATGTAGCCTCCCACACCACTAGGGCAATCTCCCTATGCACCTTCAATTAACCTCTGGTCATTATTTTAGCTCCATCTACTATTCATTGCAGAGTGTACCTGTCCAGGCTTAAGGCCCAGAGCTGCAATGTTACTGAATCTCTCTGCACAGATCCTGCTGCTGGAGCACTGGGAAGACCCAATCCTTTACCTGCAGTCTCCCCATGAGCCCCCCCAGCTCTGTGACACCCACACAAAGAAGGACTCCAGAAAGAAATGCAATGGCTGCAGATGTGTGAGTGAAGAACTCCAAATCCAGTTCCAGGTAAGCAGTCAGATTACAACCTGACAAACAGGCACTCCAGGGGAAACCAACTAAAAAGTGTTGAATGATGCACTACAACCTTGCCTGGATGTTAGCCCTGCTTCAAGAAGGAGGCTGGAACTGAGATCTCCAAAGATACCTCCAAATGTAACTTTTTTTCTAGCAGTAGAGAGCTGGATTCCTGTTGCTTTATCAAAGCAACACCAGCCTGGTCAGTTAGAAGGTACGTGGAGCACTTACTTGGAAAGTCCTGCAAAAGCCTGTTTGATATGATCAATCTCATTCTGTACATCTTGTGGTGACACCTGATCCAAGCACAGGAGGCTGCACAGGTCAGCCAGGTCACGTTTAGGTACTGAGACTGAACAGTTCTCAACTACCACAAGAATGGTGAGTCCCACAGCCAATTTGCTTTGGATGACTCTGTCCTCTGGAGCTGCTTCTCGTGCAAGGAAAGGGAGAGCTATTTTCTTCACATATTTTAACAGCAAATCATTCACCTGGGATAAAGAAGAGAAGAAACAAACCAAGCATAGCATTAATCTTTCTCTTCTGAAGCCAATGTCTTCTGCCAGTTCCAGTGAGGCCACAGGACAGGAAGGAGCAGCCCTGAAAACCAAAAATGACAATGTGGCATTTCTGTCACATTTCCTAATTATGCCAAATAAGAAATTTTGGATTCCATAAACCCTACTGGCATCACTGCTTAGAAAAGGATCAGGAGCTTCTCCCAAAAAGGAGGCAGGTTTGGAGCAAGAGATGACTGCAGAGAAGTTGTAAGTGACAGAACAACTGGCAGCAAAACTCAATGGCAAGGCTTAGGAAATCAATACCCAGACACAAAACCCACTCAAGTATGAAGTCACTATGTCACAGCCCTGCTGCTGACCCCCATGGGGTCTCAGAACCACACCGAGGTGTACAGGCTGACTGAAGCCCTCAACACAGTCAGTGACAGCCACCCCAGAAGGATCCCCACTGCTTCTGTACCTGAACTTTGACTGGAAAAGCAAAATTCGCCCAATGAAGTCAACAGCAAAATTAAAGTTTGTTTGCAGTAACAGAATGCTTTCTGTCTCTGCAAGAGAAGGGATTACCTGCTCTGTGCTGAAGTTTAGCTCTTTCCATACCATTGCCTCACCATCAAACACCCGCTGGCCTACTGCAACATAATGGAACTGCCTCAGCTGATAGAAGAAATTCCTCAGACTGCCAGGACTCCAGGTCCCAAGAATGCTGAAGATACTTTCTAACATAATATCAGCGGCAATTTTCTTCCCCTCCACCAGTTCTTTGTATTTATCAGAACTAATTTTCTGATGCAAGTTTTTCTTCGTGTAAGGCTTTGCACACACGATGTCATCGTACTGGTGCCACTCTAGAACAGCAACACAAGGAGAACACAGGAAAACAACCATTGCAATCAGGTGCCTTCTCCCTTCCAGCTGCCACAGCAATACCCCCAGCAGCCCACTGAGCTGCCAGCTTCAGTTAGGGCTGCCTGCCAGGAATGCTGGGCCATAGGACAGCAGGGATCACCCCAAGGCGCAGGTCCAGCCAACAGAGCTCACCTCCATTTTGGAGGAGTCCACTCTTTATCAATAAGCAGCGATTCACAGGATTATGGGATACTGAATTCTTGTAAATGAACTCATACTCCCCATTCCCACAGGTCACCCAGTAGTTGTAAGGAATGTATTTATCCAGGATTTTTCTGCTGAGAGTTACAGCACCTTCAATGAGGTATCCATGTTCTCCCAGATGCCTTGGAAACACAAACACAGCAAAGGCAGGCAAAGGACACGTTAGCTGATCTACCAACCTCCTTTTCCATGCATTGCTCCATTCTTAACAGGAATGGTGACTGTTCTTTCACACAAACACTTTAGAACAGTTTTCTCCACCGTGAAACCCTTTGCTGCAACCCCCGGCTGTGGGCACAGAGCCACCCCTTGCACAGTGGCTGAGGCCCCAGAGGGACCCTGTTCTCACAGCAGGGAACACTCACCGGGTGCAGTTCAACTCACAGATGTTGTCCTTCCAGTCAGCATAGGAAGGGATGTCCTGAGCCCTGATGAACACTTTATGGGTATCGGGGTCGAGCTTGAAGTCTTTGGATAATATTGCATGGAAATGCACTGTAACACCCTCATTGCGGCTCACAGAACTGCAGGAAAGGATTGGAAGGGAAATAGAAGAGATTTTGTCAGGGTTTTTTAATTGCACAATTCACTGTAGACCTCAAATCAGACTTGATTTGAGACCAGCTGAGTGGCTGCAAGATCCATAAACTCTGGCAGCAGTTCACTCAGACTGATGTTTGAGCAGGCCTAGTGCAAAGCCCAGTGCAAAAAGGCCAGAGCAGGAGATGCTCTGGCCCAGCAGAGTCACCTGGAATGGCCACACTTTCCACCCCTTCCAGCTCATACACATTAAGCAGAACATCAAAACAGCTCTTCACACTATTCACCTGAAGCATTTTGTGTGTGAAGCATATGGTGCTCTTTAGAGCAAGAAGTAAGAGAATAATCTCTTTTTTATCCATCAGATGCTCAAGCAGGTTCAACACATCACCTAGGACAGCACAGGACCTGTGCTGGGGCTCCCATTCAACACTGGTTCTGTCGTGCACAACCACCTCACCTCAGTTTCAAGACAACTCCATTTCCACATAGCCAAGGTACATACTGACCCAGTCCCAGCACCTCAGTTTAGAGTCCTGAGTCCTCCTCACAGCAACTCCCATTAGGGAAGAACGCTGGGAGCAGTAGGGCTGTTCTCACCTTTCTTTAACCTTTTCCACAGGTTTATGGTTCCTTTGTTCCTTTTTGTTCTTGGGGCTGTCTGCTGCAGCCACAGCACCCTCCTTTCTGGCAGCCTCTGCTCCTTGGCTCCAACTTGTCTTCTCACTCATGTTGGGCATTTTCGCACATGGGGTCAGATTTTTCTCTTTTGTGTTTGCATGCTGCAACAGGGAGAGAAACAATGCCCAATGAAACAGGAGACCCTGGAAGCACACCATCTCCTCCTGGTGTGTTGGCAATTGAAAGATGGCAAGAAGCCATTTATTGTTTCTACAATTCCATTTATATACTCTTACAGCTTTAGGTAAAATTTTTCACTGCTAAGCAATAACCACATTATTCACATTTCTTAGCTACACTGCTTAACCACAGTCTTGTACCTGCAGTCTTGCATGACTTCCTTTAAACAAAGCAACTTTCCTTTTGGTTTCCTCCCTTACATTTCTGTTTGATGTTCCCAGGGCTTCTGGCCCACCAGAGTCAAGATGTCCACATCACCCATCAGCTGGGCAGTACTTTCTGCTCTTCTGCCCATCTGCCCCCCAGCACTGGTGCACCACCAGCTTCACCCTCCTGGAAGCACTGATCCCTCACTGAGGGAAGCCGCTGGCTAAGGAAAACAGCTCATGATGGAAGAGAAGCCCAACCCAAACACACTGCCACACAGTCAGCTCAGTGAGCCCCAGGATGGAGCATAAAGAAAGTGAAAGAGAAACCACAGCAACTTACAGCTTACCAGGCCTGTGTATGAACAGAGCACAGGCACCTGCAAAACACAAAATCCCTTTGTACAAGGGGATCCCAGAGCTCTCCAGACAGTAAGGCTGGCTGGAGAAGAGACACCTGCCAGTCCTGGGGGCATCTGAGCCACCCCTCAGTGAAAGCTGGGCTAGAACTGACACCTAGGAGTACAGAATTCAAATTAGAGCCTCCCCATAGTTGTCCCCAGTTCACCCCTGCATGCCTGGGCTGGTGCTCCTCAGCCTCACTGACAGCACAAGCAAGTCACACTGACAAAGGGAAGCTGTGCCCACTGGGACACTCACCAGAGCTCACTCACACTCACCTTGACAGTGGAACTGGTCCCTTCCTGCCTGGGCTCCTTCCCAGCCTGCGGGCTCTGAGCCCCAGGGGAGGTCTTGGTTTCAGGCTTGCTTTGGGGGACTTCCTTGGCAGGAGGCAGCCCAAAGGAACTCGCTTCCTGCTCTGCTGACAGCAGCTCCTTGCTGCTGCCCCAGGCCTGGGAACCTGCTGTGGCTGCTGGCAGCTGGTCAAGGGCACCGCTGCCCCATTCCACATTACCCCTGGCTGTTCCATCCCCCACCTTGTTCCTTGGGACTGCGGCCCTGGCTATGCTGCTCTGCTCTGCAAGGCTCAGCATTTCTGCTTCCGGGCTGCCAGCTTCCTTCCCCACGTGTGCCAAATTCCTGTTGCCTTCAGGTGCATCTCCACTGGCACCAGTGCATCCATCAGCACCTGGGTTTGCTCCCTCACAGCCGGGGTGTTGGATTTCCTGAGGAACAACATAGGTGTCAGGCAACTCTCTGGTTTGAGGAGGCAGAGTGTCCTGTCCCCCAGAGATGGACGTATATTTCTTTGCTTTACTCTTGTTCTCTTTCTATTAAAAAAAGAAAAACAAAGACCACAATGTCTTTTTATTCACGGCCAAAGGGAAACTCTGTCACCTCCTCCATTGCAGCAAGTGCCAACATCTTCCTGCTACACAGCGCTAACAGAGAACGACCAGGAAGAGGAGGGACAAGACCAGCCAGTGAAATGCAAATAAGTCTTGAGAACTGTGCAGGTTTAATATTCAAGATTTGCTCAGCAGGAGCACAGAGCAGTGCAGCAGTGTCTAAGCTGACTCATGTAATTTGTGGTTTCCCCCTCCCGGCACCGCAGCTCCACATGCACAACACAGCCTCAGCAAACATAGCAAGCTTCTCCTGGAGGAAGCCAGGCAGCAGCTCCCTGACATGGCCAAAGGGATGTGGGGGATGCAGCCTGGCCTCCTCACTTCTAGCGAGAGAGCAATAAGTCACAGCTGCTCCCCAGCACCCAGCAGGATCCACACCTTCTTCAGCAGAGGAACCACTTCAGCAGAGTCACCAGCTCCACGATGAGCTGAGGGCTCTGCATTGTCCTCTGAAGCTGTGACATACTCCTTTTCCTCCTCCCATGTCTCAGCAGAGCTGGGAGATCCACCTGCAGTGTCGGAGGTGTTGGGCAGAGCTCTTGCTCCATCCATCAGCGACTTCCCCTCTGTCTCCTTTTTTTTAAGTGGTGGAAGGAGGCCCAGCAGCACCTTCTTTCTTCACCTCTTCCTCTGCATCAGGGACTGCAGGGACCTGCACCTCTCTTCTCTCTGCAAAGGAGGGAAATTAATCGTTAAACTGGAAACTCACCCCCCAGTGGAGTCGCAGGATGGTTTGGGTTGGAAGGGACTTTAAAGCTCATCTCATTCCACCCCTGCCACAGGCAGGGGCACCTTGCACTGGACCAGGTCACTCCAAGCCCCTGGATGGGGGAGAGCATCAGAAAAAAAGGCAAAACTTGTGGGTTGAGATAAACACAGTTGAATAGGACAGACCTGAGTGTGGAGACTGTGTAGGATGTGTCACCAACTCAATCACTGTCTCCCGACTGCCAAGTGAAGAAAACTGTCTCAGATCAGGTATGTCAGGGGAGGCTGAGATGAGAGATTGGGAGGGGAGCTTGGGACTAGAGCAGTATGGAATGAGCTGGGCAGAACAGAGCCCGGAGCCACACGGGCACCAGAGGTGATACAGGCAGCCTCTGCCCAGTGTGCAGCCCCAGGGCTGCCCGGCACGGCCCAGTCCCGGGGCCCAGCGCGGCCTCACAGCCAAGGGGGACAGACAGGGCCTCGGCAGAGACACAAACACCAGCACAGCGTGAGGCAACACAGCCGTGTCACGTCCTCCTCTGCCCGTTTTATTGTCAAGAAGCGACCTGCGACACTGGAGAGCCGGGCTGGGAGCGTGAGGAGAACCACAGCGCTTAAAGGCAACGAACACGAACAGCGAGCGCTCCCCCGCGCTGCGGGCCCGTGCTCCCACCGAGGGCCCGGCTCTCCTTCCCGAAGCCCTGCCTGGGGCTGCTCCCTGGGGCTGGGCCGCGGCCGGGAGCCTAGTTCCAGCGGCGGGGCCGGGCGGGAGCGGGACTGGGGCTGAACCTGAGCTGTAGCAGGGAGCAAGTGCTGGAGCAGCTCCCGGGGCTGAGCCGTGGCCGGGAGCGGATCCCGGGGCGGGTCCCGTGGCCGTGGCTCGCTGCCCGACTCGGCCCCGCCTGGGGTGGCGCTGCCCCGTGACCCTGTATGGAGACCGCTACGTGATGGGCGAGGCTAGCGCGGCTCCCGAGGGACCCCGAGTTATAGGGGACCGAGGGGGACACGGGGGGGATACACGGGATAGGGGCGTCCCGAGTTAACGGGGAGGAGATGGGAGTCCCCAGGGACGCACCGGAGGGCTCCGGGCGGATCGGGGAACAGGGTGCACGGAGGCGCTTCGGGGGCACTGCGAGGGTGCAGCGGGGCCCGGAGCCCGCAGCGCCGCCTGCCCCGGAGCGGCGGCTGCCCCCGTCCGCACCGGAGCCCCCTTAGCCCAGGCCCGGCGCCCCGTGCCGCCACTCGCCGCCCCGGCAGCGCGACTCACCGAGTGACCGGGCACGGGTACGGGCACCACCACCTGCAGCGCCCGCTCGTCCTGCCGCCCCGCCGACTCCCGCCCGGACAAGTTTAGTTTGTCCGGCGAGCCGCCAGCTTTCGTTTTTACAGGCACGGTCCCCACCCAGCCCCAGACCACCCCGGCCAATCCCGGCCCCGACCACCCCACCGCTCCCGGGCGGGGTCCCCCCCCGGTACCTCCCGGGCATCCCCCCACCCATCAGCCCGGTGCAGGAGCCCCCGGCCGGCGCAGGGGCGCAGGCAGGACCCGGCAGCAGCGGTGAGGGCGCAGGTGTGTTGAGAAGAGCACTTTGTGCTGGTCCCGACAACCAAAAGCGGATTCCGCGGTCAAAAACGGGGTCACGGCTGGTGCCTCATCCCGGATCCGACCAGGACCGAGCCGAAGACGGGCTCCCAGCAGCCCTGCCCTCCACCAGTGCTCACACAGGTTTGAGCACACACATATTCCTAAACAACCAGTCAATTTTTCTCACCCCCCTGCCCCTCTTTTCCCCCTCCCGGCATACACACAGCTCAGTGCACTCCAGGGCAGGACCCAGCGTCCTGGCAGGTGTGTGGCTCCCGGGCACCTGTGCCGCCCTTCCAGCTCCTCCGGCAGCAGGAGCTGTGCAGAACGTGCCCTCGGGCTCGGCTCACCCGCACTGCCCCGGCTTGCTTTCGGTTTCTTTTCCCCAGCACAGACTAAGATAAGGAGCAGCCCACAGACAAGGATTAAAAAGGTAAGGATAAGTAAGAATAAAAATCAGTAAGGAGTACAATCCCAGATGTTTTCCCTCTCCTCAGGTGGAGGCTGAGCCCCCGTGTCTGCTGGGAGGGCAGCACAGCAGCCCTGAAACAGCTTTGAGAGCTTATCAAGCATCACCACAGGAGCGGCCCAGAACATGAAAAAGGTCCAGAATTAAATAGTTGTTTAAAAAATGTCAGCAGCTCCCTGTAGGAAGGATGGCTTTGCATTGGTCACTGTGACAAGGAACAGTTTTGTCCCACAGCCTGTGTGGTGTTGGGCTGACACTGCTCTGTCCGTCTTGGTGTGGGACATGGGGACAGTCCATCCCCATGCCCAGGATGGGGCAGTGGCTCCCACGGAGGGTGTTGGTGTCACTGGGGTGGCACAGGACATTCAGCCCAAACTGGTCTCACTGGATGAGTCCTGTGCTCTCGGCAGTGCGGGCGAAGGGCTCTGCCCTGCTGCCCCCCAGCTCTGCTCCCCTGCACTGTTCTGGGACAGGAGGGGGGAAGCAGAGTCAAGGCAAGGCTCATGTCCTGGCTCTGCCTGGGACAGAGGAAATTTTCTTCCCAGGAGTGGGTTCAGAGCTATGTTTGAGTTCAGGATGAGGCTGCTGTTGATAACAGTGTAATATATGATTTGGAATAATTAGTGCGTATGTGAAATATATGAGAAATATAGAAGAAATAAGTTTTGCTTGTAAGATGCTTGTAAGAAATATTCTTAGAAGTTTTAAATCCACAATCAATTTGTGAGAGTGCCTCACAAAATTGCAAAACCACAGATGGCATGCATTCCAATGCCAATTCCCCTAACTTGACATCGGCATTTGTGCATTCCAGTGCCGGTTCCCGTAACTTGACGTCAGCATTCATCACTTACCGGAAACTGTTTTGTCCAGCCCAACACAGAGAAAGGAGACTATGTGAATATGTGAAGCCATGAAAAGAAAATGAGAGACTCTGCCCCAGGCTGAATAAACTGTATAAAAACTACCCTTCGTGAACAGAGAGCATCCGAAGCAATGGAGTTCAGATCAGAGTTCACGCAGCGCTGATCCCGGGCTCGGCGCTGTCCCTTTGATTGTGGCTATCGGAGACCATACCTCCGTTGTGAAATAAAATCTATTTTTATTAATTACTAATTTGGCTTTATCGATTACTACCTATAACAACAGCCTGATGGCTCAGCTGCTGCTGAGCAGTGCTTACACTAAGCCAAGGACTTCTCAGGCTCCCAGGCTGACCGGGCAGCGAGGAGCTGGGAGGGGACAGAGCCAGGAGAGCCGCCCCAGTGCCCAGAGGGATGTTGCAGAGCACAGGGCATGGTGCTGAAGGAAGCACTGGGGTGATTTGGCTGAGGGATGAGGGCCACTGCTCAGGGGCTGGCTGGGCATTGCTCAGAGGGTGGTGAGCAAGCACCCTGTGCATCACGGGCTTTGGATATTCCTTTATGGTTACTGTAATTTTCTTTTATGTCCTGTTAAACTGCCTTCATCTCAGCCCAAGAGTTTTACCTTTTCTCTGATTCTGCCCCACCACTCTTCAGGGGGAGTGAAGGGCTCCGTGGTGCTGAGCTGCTGCATGAATCCCCAAGGCTGGGGAGACCCAGTTCTTGGGAGGGGCTCCAGCTCACCCTCTCAGGAGCCCCTGCAGCCCACACACTGATGTTCTGCAGCTGGACAGGTCAGATCCCCGTGGGTGTCCTGCAGAGCCACACTCACCCCATCCTGGGAGAGCAGCCCAGAGCCTCACCTGCCTCCTCCCAGCTGGGGAAATGCTGGAATCCTTCTAAGTCTGCAGACAGAATGGGAGAATGGGGTCCTGAGGGCAGAGAAATCTGGGTTTGGGGAGTGCTGGTCACTTCCCATCCCCCTGGGGCAGAGCCCCCAGCACTTCCCAGCGCCTGCAGCCACCAGCTCTGGGAGATGAAGGTGCTTGGGATTGTGATGGTGCCACCAGAAAGGCCAGCACAGAACCATCAGCCACACTCTCCCCAGGCCCAGGGGGGCGTAGCCAAGGTCCCACACACCTGCAGGCCACAGAAGGCCAGTGAGAGGCTGTGCCTGCACAGCTCCTGCAGCAGCTCTGCCAGCCCCAACACCGCCGTGTAATCAATGCTGCTGATGTGGCAACAGTCCAGCACCACAGAGCGTGGTGGAGATGCTGCTGGAAGAGCATAAGGGCACATCCCAACAATGTAGTAGGCCCAGGGCCTGCAAAGGCTCCTTGGCAGTCAAGGCCTGACAGGAAATGCCAAGTCATGATGACTGGACCTTAGAAGCCCCTCTTTTCCACCTTCGGACGCTTGCTTATTTCTCTGTAAGCCTATAGGTCACTTTCCTTTGACCTTTTCTGCCGGACAATTTCCAAAACCCCTGTATCCTATATAAATCCCTACTTCTGCCCAGTTCAGCAGAAGAGCTGCCACTGAGAACCTTCATAGAAGACCCAAATAAAGAATTTCTTTGTAACCTCACACGGCCTTCTCCTCTCTCTCCCTGCGTCCTGCTGCAGCACCTAGCAAGCTAAAGAGCTGAAATCACAAATGAGCTGATAATCACTAAGAGCTGGTATCACTGGAGCTTGCTAAGGTTGCCTGCGGCTGGGAGCTGCTTGGGAATTTGGACAGGCTGTGCTGAGCAGGACTGCGCTATCCGGACCATTGCAGCCCACTGGGCATACCCCGGTGAAGCCATTATACAACAAGTTCAGAAATGAGCAGCCCAGGGGTCACAGCCCTCAGAGCCAGGGAAGGGCTGGCAGGGGTGGGACAGCTGTGCTGTCACCACTGACACCGGCAGTCCCTGCATCTGTCTGGGCAACACCTGCCACCCACACCAGAGTGATGCAGGCGGTGACAGCCGAGTCCCCAGGACAGGCCAAGAGCACTGTACTTGCCAGAGCATGGCTGCACACCAAGTCCCTCAGGTGCTCCAAGGCTGGGAAGTGCAGGCTGCTCTCTGGCTGCACCAGCAGCACGGCCCCCTCCAACACAGGGAGCTCAGGGCTGTGATCTTCCCAGGCAGGGACAACTGCCCATGTCACTCCCTGCCCTCCTGGGTGGAGTGGGAGGAGCAGGAGCTCCCATCCCTCAGGAAAACCCTCCTGCACACAGCCCAATGTCAGCAGGGCAGGGACAGCAATGCCTCCCTCTCCTGCTCTCCAGTTTGAGGATATTCCCTTCCTCCTGCTCCTTTAAAGGGGTCCCTGTGCTGTGCCCATGGCAGACTGGGGATAGCAAGAACAGGTCAGGAGCATTCTGCACCCCAGCACCTCACTGCCCTCAGGAGCCCACTCCCAACTCCCTGGCCCCACCACATCGAAGGGTGTGAGAAATGGATTTGTAAGGAATTCTCAAAACCTGACAGAAAGCTCACACAGTCTTGTACAAGTGTATGCAAACTGTGAGATAAGATGTGCTGACTTAGGAAGGCCATGGAATAGAGATGACAGTGAGATTGAACTAGAAACAAGTTTCAACAAGTTTCAAATGATGTCCTTGCAAAAAGACCAGATATTTTAGAGAATTAGAACTGTGAAAGATGCATTGTAGCATTCCGTGGAGTAAAAATATGAGTGATTGGTGTTAGAAGTATTGTGGGGCAGCATTGTGGGGCAAAAGCTAATAGGCTGAAAAACATTTATAAGGTATTGTAACCCTATTTCCAATGCTTCTGATAGAATGGCATTGAGTTGTACATCTCTTATGTCTCACCCTTCATTGGGACTGATAATGGAATAAAATCTTTTAAAACACCTCTCAGTTGCCCCATCTCTGAAAAGCTGGGAAAACCAGCATAAGGGGAGGGGAGAAGCTCACCTTTATTGGTGGCCTGGCAATGGAGTAGAGCAGAACCCCAGAAACCAGCACCCCAGCCATGATTCCATACTGGACCTCCCAGAAGCAGAGCAGGAATGTCACACAGAGGGGCACAAGGTGCAGCCCTGCAAGAGAGAGAAGCCAGGTGCAGCTGTGGCTGGTCCTGGTGCCACAGGGCACTCGGTGGCAGTGCCAGCTCTGTGGGCACAGCCGGGCTCTACCCTGGTCTTGAGGAATCCATTCCGTGCAGGTGGTGGAGCTGCAGGTGGGAGCCCTTGGAAAGGGCTGTGATCTGTCCGCTTTGCATGACAAAGGACCCAGGCACCGCTGGGCAGCCACATGATAGAACATTCAAGAGAGAGTGATGGGACACTCAGAGACCATGATGGGACAGTTAGAGGCAGTGATGGAACGCTCAGAGGCCTTGATGGGAAACTCAAAGACCACCCCTGGACTTAAGCACATCTGTGAGGGGATAAAAGGATAAAAGCTCACAGGCTGCTTTGCTCTGGATCCTTCCTCAGAAACACCCAATTGAGGTGTTATTCTGTTATTTAGTTATGGCACCATGATTAAATTATTTCAAGGATCTGGATGTCTGAGAATCTGCTATGGGAAACCTGGGGTAGAGCCGGTGAGGAGACCTGGTCTGTTTGAGTGGGGCAGGGGGAGCTGTGAAGGGGCCTCTGTCCCAGCTCAGGGGGGCGAGTGTGACTGCTGGAGTGGCTCCTGGATGGCTAGACTGGGGAACTGCCCATTGCCCATGGATGCCCTCACTCTTAACTCGCCAGAGTGTCCGGAAGATGCCAGTGTCAAACATGGGCACCACAGCCGAGATGATGATGGCAGCGAGCACCACTTTGGGGATGTAGTAGAAGAGAGGGGTGAGATAGCCAGGGACAGCAGGACCAGGGCACCTGTGGGAGTATCGTGCTTTTTGTTTTATTAGTAGGTTTATGGTTTGATTTGTGATTTGGTGGTTTTCCATGGTGCTGTTTTCCTTTTGTCTCCGCCTTTTCCCAGTTATTTTGTCGGCTAGTTTCTAGTTTCTATTTCTCCAAACTTTACCCGTTTATTTAAACCGTTTTTCCTCCCTTGGAAGTTTATTGGTTCACTATTGTTATTCCCCATCTAGGTTTTTTACTCCCAACTCTCCTGATTTGTTGAAAGTTGTGCCTTCCCCTGACTTTCTCCCAAGATATAAGTCTTTGTTCGCACCTTGATGGGAGTCCCAGGAGAGGAAAAAGGGGAAGTTTGCCATCAAATAAAGTTTCCCTGGGACCCGTGTGAGCTGCCTGTGTTTAATATTGTGCCGAAACAATTGACAACTGGGATTCAACGGAGCTCCAGGGGGAACCTGCCGCCCCCCCCCCCCCCCCCCTTGTCATCAGCTAGCCGGGGAAAGAGAGGAGGACCCTGAGCCATGGGCACCCCAACACCCAGAGGTCCCTGACACCCAGAGGTCCCCAACACCCAGGGGTCTCCAGCACTGAGGGGTCCCTGATACCCAGAGGACCCCAGCACGGGCAGCAGCCCGGGGGCAGGGCAGGGGCAGGGGCAGGGCAAGGCTGTACCTGTGATGAGCCCTCCTGTAGGGATGCAGAGCCCTGACTGAGCATTGACTGCTGTCCTGAAACACAAACCCACACGATGACAGGGGGAGCTGGGGGCTGCTCCTGCCCGCTGCCCAAAGACCCCATCCAGGAAAACTACATGCCCTGTCAGGGAGAAACACGAGCAAGCTCTGGCTTCCAGGACTGCACAGCAGGAAGGGAGGTGGCCCTCCACAGAAGGGAAGGTGGCTACTGGGACACATACCAATGGGCTGCTGGGGACCAGGACACGAGCTCAGGGACCCACTGGGGACAGCACAGTGTTCCACTCAGGATCTTGCAGAGCTCCCTCACCACGCAGCCCCAGCGAGTGCCCTGCACCCTCTCCTGCTACCCACCAGCCAAAGCTGCCTGTGATGGAGTGTGAGGAGACGAAGGAGCCCAGGACACTGGTAATGCCTGAGGAGACAAAGGAGAAGGGCTGGGAAGGCATTGTGTGTTTGTGTTCCTGTGTGCTTCCTTCATGACGTTGTCCCTTCCTTCTTACCCGGAGCTGGAGACAATGCCCACCCACGCAAGAGTGACTCAAGCCTGCTCCGGAAATCCTTGAGCTGTGAGAACAATCGAGGTAAGGAAGGGAAAGTTCAGTGGAGGCAGGACTGTCCAGATGGGGATCTCAGGCAGCCCAGGAGCTGTGGGACTCCTGGCAGTGCTGGAGCCCCACCCCTGCCCTCCTGAGCAAGCAACTCTTACCCAGAGCCAGCAGGTTCTGGTCAGGGTCAATCCTGTAACCATTCTGCGAGGCTGAAAGGAGATGTTGGCACTGGCCTGAAGCTCCCACAGGTACCTGCCACGCACACGGAGGAGAACCAGCAGTGACTGGGACTGTGTGGGCCCTGTCCTGGCACCCCTTGGGCACAGGAGCACCCCAAGAAAACACTCATCTCCTGGGCAAATTTCAGCTGGGCATCCCACAGGATCCCTGCTGGGACAGGTAGGGAGCACCAAATCAAACTCTACTAACAGAGCTCAGTGGCTAAACTGCCCGTGGGCCAGGGAGCCCTGCCTGGACTTGTGGCTGCAGAGAGGAGACAGCAGCAGCCACAAAACCCCCTGCACTGCTCCTCCACAGCACCTGTCTGCATTCTCACAGGGATAATTGGGAAGAAGCACGTGGGGCCGGGGGCTGTGTACCCCTTTGACTTTGCCTACAGAGAGGAGAACAGTTTGGTCCTGCAGGCTCGGAGAAACATCACCCGGATCAAGGCACTTGTCCGGTGGCTCCTGCAGAGCCAGGACAAGAGGCGAGACTGCCCCCTTGTCCTGGGAATGGCTTCACTGAAGATGTGTTCCCATGGCCCAGCTGGACACAGACAGGAAGGGGCCCCTTGTCCGTGGGTTCCCCCATATCCAGATTAGGTGGGGGGAATCCTGCTGACCCCACCTCACCGTGGCACAGCCCAGGAAGGTCTCCGGGCAGTCCTTTGCTTCACCTCCTCCACATCCCCCCTTTCCATCCCTAGGCCTTTCTTCTTCTATGTTGTCTTCCATGACCCTCACCGCTGCAGGCACTCCCAGCCCCAGTATGGGGCCTTTTGTGAGAAATTTGGCAATGGAGAGGGTGGGATGGGCTGGATCCCTGACTGGAAGCCACAGATTTACCACCTGGAGCAAATGCAGGTGAATACTTGTGGGTATGTGTGGGCCTCTATGGGGTTGCATATGATGGCAGCCTCTGGTGGAGCCAGGGCTGGCCCCACATTGTCACTGCCCCCAGTATCACAGCAAGAGCTGGTGAAGGCACAGGAATCTGTGTCACCCACGTGCCTGTTTCCCTGTCTCTGTTTAGTCCCTGCCTTTGTCCCAGACACACTGGCTGCCCGGGAGGACCTGGCTGCCCAGTACATGACCATCGGGTGCATGGACCAAGGTGGGAGCCGTGGCCAGGCTGGGGCTGAGCTCTGCAGCCCTCCCTGCCCCCTGAGCTCTGCCCCTCCTCTCACAGGGATCGGGCTGCTCCTGGAGGAGCTGCACCACACCAGCTTCCTCAACAACACTGGCTTCCTCAACAGATTCCCGGTGATCTACGCCTCCGACAACGGCATCCCCTTCTCCGGGGGCAGGACCAACCTCTGCCGCTCGGGCACCGCCCAGCCGCTGCTCCTCTCCTCCCCCGAGCACCCCAGCGCTGGGGGCAGGTCAGTCAGGCCTTCGCCACCCTCCTGGGTAAGAGCTGAGGGAGGGAGGCAGCACAGCTGTGCCTGGAGCGGGGTGGGCTGCTCCCCACCCTCCCTGCACCAAAACTCAGGGTCCTGCCCCTGGGGACAGCCCTCAGCATTGGCAGGACCAGTGCAGGGAAGGGAGAGGAGGAAGGACAGGACAGGGTCCCCTGCAGGGACACCATCCCCGGGGACCTTTCTGCCACTCGCACAGGTGCCTGTCCCTGCTCTCACCCTTTTCCACCCCTCCAGATCTGACACCGACCATTCTGGACTGGTTCTCCATCCCCTACCCTGCTTACAGCATCTTTGGCACCAGGCAGGTGCAGCTCTCTGGAAAGTCTCTCTTGCCACCCCTGGAGTCGGAGGAGCCATGGGCCAACGCCTTCAGCAGCCAGAGTCACCACGAGGTGACCATGTACTACCCCATGCGAGCCGTCCAGCACCAGCAGTTCCACCTCATCCACAACCTCAACTACAAGATGCGCTTCCCCGTCAACCAGGACTTCTGCATCTCGCCCACCTTCCAGGACCTGCTGAACCGCACCAAGGCGGGGCAGCCACGCACTGGAACAAGAACCTGCAGCAGTACAACTACCGAGCCTGCTGGGAGCTCTTTGACTGCAGCCATGACCCTGCGGAGAGCCAGAACCTGGCCCCTGACCCACGCTATGCTGGCATCCTGCAGCTGCTGTGTGTGCAGCTCCTGAAGTGGCAGTGGGACACGGGGGTCCCTGGGTGTGCACCCCCGACGCTGTCCTGGAGGAGAAGCTGAGCCCCCAGTGCTGGCTGCTGCACAATGAGCTGTGAGTGCCACCTGTGCCTGGGACAGTGCTGTGCTCCTGCGGGGCACAAGGGCTCAGAGCAGGACCACAATGGGCTGGTCCCAAAGCCCAGGTGACACCACGAGGCTCTGCCCTCTGCTGCCAAGACCACCTGGCCCCAGAGCACTGAGGGATTCCTGGTGCCTTGGCTCTCAGCCAGAGGAGCCGAAGGGCCAAGCTGCCCCTCAATAAACCCTCTGAAGGATAAGACTCCATTTTCACCTGGAGCTGAGCACACCCCTGCAGCAGTCCCCAGCTTGGAGGCAGCAGGAGAGGCCAAAGGCCTCTGTGGCACAGCCAGGGCTGCAGGAACAGCTGGGGACCCCCAGCGCTCTGGGAAATGGGGAAAGCCTTCAAGGGCCACTGAAGACCTCCACGCAGCGACAGAGCCAGGGTGTCCTAGCCAGGGGCAGGGGGCTAAGCACATTCAGAACCAAGAGAGGGGACAAGGACATGGCCGGGGACTGCTCCCAGCAGAACCCTGTTGAGGTGGGCGCTGGCCCGCAGCAGCTGGCTGAGTACGGCGTCCTGGGGACAAGGGGATGGATGGCACCGTGTGCTCCTGCCTCTCAGCCACCCCACGTGCTTCCAGGGCTCCTCTAGGTGCCCCACCCCATCTGCTGCTCCTCTGCTGGCCACAGAGCAGACACAGGTGTGCCAGGGCCACCAGGAGTCCCTGCCCAGATGCCCCCTGCCAGCAGCTCCCTGTGCTCACAATGGAGGCCAGGAAGAGGATCTCGGTGTAGTCACCCCTCTGAAAGTTCTGCCAGCTCACCCCATCGTCCCAGAACAGGTCCCCCCTGATGAAGCTGTCCAGGGTCAGCACCACCACCAAGGCCATGCCCTTCCCATGGGACTGGGCAGTGCTGAAGGTGGGCTTCTGGGGCACAAGGCAGGCACAGCTCAGGCACTGCCGGGGACAGCTGTGTCCCCCAGCCCTGCAGCCACAGCTCCTCTGACATTGGTGTGGGCACTGCCACCCTCCCAGGCTGCTCGGGCAGGTCACTGTGGTGTCACCACAGAGCAGAGGGGACTCACCTGCAGGGGCAGGATATGCCCTGCACGGACGTGGATGTTGATGGTGTCCAGGGGCGCTGGCAGGAGGATCCACTGCCCTTTGCTGTGGATGGTGGAGTCCTACACGGGGACAAAGAGAGGGAAGAGCAGGCACAAGGTGCCACAAGGCAAGGGAGGCCCAGTCCAGTGCCAGAGCCCTCAAATGTCCACCAGCAGAGGCAGGTGAGGCACAAGACCCATACACAGCCCCGGGGGGCTGGTGGGATGCAGGAATGGGCACAAGGTGCCACAGCAAAGCCCCCTGTGCAACACAGCAGGAGCACCCACCCCTGCGAGGCTGTGCCACGTCCCTGCTGGGAAGCAGCCACTGACTTTGGTCTGTCCTGCCTCCAGCACGGGGGTGACGAGCAGCCCCTCGCCCCACAGGAGCTGGCGGTCCATGGCCCAGGTGTTGGGGTCTGTGGGGAACCTGGGGAAGGAGAGGAGGGCAGTGCCAGGAGACCCTGCAGCCCGGCGGGGCTGGCACCCACTTGAGGAACAGGGGCCATTCCACGGTCTAGCCAGCGCTGTGAGCCTGGTGGAACAGCAGGTAAAGGGCAGGAGGGAGTTGCATAGGTGCAGGGCGTTTCTCATGGCTGCCTGGGCGGGCTGAAGGCAAAGGGCTCCTGCGGCTGCGGGGAGGGGAATGGCCCGAGGGGATGCTCAGCCCACGTGGGAAGGAACGGAGGGCGCATTTCAGGGATGCAGGATGGACTCTCCCAGCACCGGGGGCACACAGCCCTGCAGCTGAGCCAGCTGCCTTCCCACGCTGGCTCGGCCCAGAGCCCCCTGTCTGGCGGGTGAGGGCTCCCAGGGCTCACCCGGGTGCTCACCCTGCGGTGATCGTTGTGGCTTCTCAGGAAGGGGCAGAAGGCACCCAGCTGGGTCAGCACAGGCACAGCTCCTTGTTTGTGTTGCTCAGGAAGCCACAGATGTCGGCACCCACAACGGCACCCCGAAGAGGTTGAAGAGCAGCACCTCTGCAGAGGGCACAGAGGGCATCAGGGTTCTGCAGCACCAGGGGATGGAGCCTATGGAGAAGCCCCTGGCTGTGGGGGAAGGGGGAAGCAGGGCTGTGGGTGCAGGCCCAGTGCCCCACAGCCTACCTTGCATGGAGTAGTAGAGCTGCTTCCCGTCTCTGCCAACATCTCCTGTCCAGTGCCCAGTGAAGGTGGAGCATGAAATGATGAAAGGATGCTTGCCTCGGACCTTCAGCAGAGCACTGGGAGTGGGATGGGTCTGCTCAGCACCCTCCAGCTGAGGAAGGGGCTCAGGGCTCCCACAGTGCCCTGTGTTCCATACCAAACCCTCACCCACCACCCATGCCTGCCCACACTGGGTCTCTCCCACACAGCTCTGCACTCCCAGGATGTGCAGGAGCTTTGGCAGGAGCCTCAGATTCACTGTGGGAGGCGATGGCCTCGGTCAGCCTGTACAGGCTGTGCAGGTTGTAGTGAGAGGACAGGTACTGCTGGCTGGAGGCACAGATGGTCCCGGTCTGCAGGCGTCCCCCAAACACACCTGCACAGGAGAGGTGGAGCTCAGATCATTCCCTGAGCTCCTCCTGGCTTCCCCGGAGCCCTGGGCAGGGCTGGAACCCACTCCTGTACCTGACATGTAGGGGGAATGCTCTAGGTTGTTGTTGGGGCAGCCATCCTGGGAGCCCTCCATGACATTGGATGGCTCATTCATGTCCTGGGAGGGAAGGAAAGGACAGGATGACCTCGCTGCTGCACCAGGGCCCAGCAGAAGTGCATAGCAGGAGCCAGGGCCAGCAGCTACAACAGGGCCACTCACAAGCCACATGTTATCGAAGGGCACTTGTTTGTGGAAGTGCTTCACCATGTCATGCCACCACTCGTCAGTCTCTGGGTTGGTGAAGTCTGGGAAGGCCGTGGGGCCTGGCCAGACCTGCAGGAGGAAGAGCATTGGGCAGAACCCCCAGCCCCCCACACCACCCCACCTTCCACCACGGCCCCCCAAAGGTTTCTCTCCCACCCTTGGGATCCTGCTGCCACAGCCCCACTCAACACTGGGGCTGCTCCCCACATGCACCTTCTCGATCAGGGGCTGCCCGTGGCGTTGCGGATGAACACCCCCTCACTTCAGGCCCTCGTAAGGCTTGTAGGTGCCAGGGTCCCCAAGCTGCTGATCCCAGCATCCTGGAAGGGCACAGAGCCAGGGCTTTAGCAGCAAAGCAGGGAATGGCCAGCCCTGCCTTCATCACCACCCTGAGGCAGCTGAACCTGTGCCAGCCTGCCTGTGCAACTCACCACAATCATGATGTACCTCAGCCTGCGGCTGTGGAAGTCCCACACCATATCCGGGTAGTACTTGAAGCTTTTCTTTTTGAAGGTGAAATCCCTCTTGGCATTTGCATAATCCAGGTCATTCACATCCTGTGAATGTTCCAGTTGTTCCAGGTCGTGCACATTCTGTGGATGGAGGCACAACGGCTTGGGCTGGAGCAGGGGCCCGACGTGCTGCTGTGGGACCCCCACCAGCCCCCCACAGCCCCCAGGAGCAGTCTGGACCTACCAGGGGGAAGTGGGCTGCAGTCATATTGGTCACCACCTGCCTAATGTCGGTAGAGGAGTAGCCCCAGCAGCCCAGGCCCCAGTACGGGGGCATGAAGGGGAACCCTGGAGGGCGGAGGGTGGGTGCTGGCAGGGATGGCCCAACCTTGTGCCACCCCAGAGCCCTGCTGTGCCACATGGCTCACAGCATCCCGGCTGTGGCTCAAGATATCAATCCTGATACCAGGATTGATATCCAATCACATTCAGGTACTGCCACACCACACTCTTGGAGTCGGGGCCCAGGAAGATGTAGAAGTCCAGAATCTCCCCTGTTGTGTGCCAGGTCAGGGCCAGGCAGGGCTGCAGGAGCACGTATGGGCAAGCACAAGTTCCAGGGGAGGAAGCTGAGGACCGGGACAGGGACAGGCCCCCACGGGACCCATCACATTGCTGTTCAGCAGAAAGACACCGTGGGCTGAACCATCGTCCTCCATCACCAGGTAGAAAGGGTGGGAGCCGTAGAGATTGATGTGGGGCTGGAGTAGATCTCGGTGTGGTGCCAGTGAGGCTCTGCTGGAGACCCCCACTCCCACCTGACCGCCCCCCACCTCTGGTCAGGAGCAATGGCTTCAGGGGCAAACCCAGGACTCTGCTCCCAAACTGTCAAGGCAGCCGAGCCCTGCCCTGAGCCAGAGCCCTGCAAACAGCTCCCAGGCAGCAGAGAGCTCTGGGGCGACAAACCTGGGCCTGGGGACAAAGGTCCCATGGGTTTGTCCAGTGTTATGGCTGAGGCCCAGAGATGAACCAGCTGACACATCTCCCCATCCCCAGGAGAGACCTCAGAGCCACCTCCAGGAGCACAGCTGCACCTGTCTCCTTTTCCCTCAGCCCCACTCTGTACTGTGGGTGCCATGTCCCACTTCCAGAGGGTGACCCTGGTCCTTGCTGTGTCAAGGAACAGCGGTGTCAGGTGCTCCCCCAGCCCCGAGATGAAATGGGAGGGCAGGGAGGTGGAGATCTGCAGGAACTGGTCTGTGAAGAAGAGGGGTGCAACCGTAGTGTTCAGCCTGCGGAGGAAAAGGGAGGCTCGGCCAACAGCTGGGAGGGAGGCACTGAGCTGGGGCCACTGCTGCTGGGCAGGGACATGGGTGCTCATTACCACCGGAAATAAAAACAGGTTTTGGCTGAGCTCTGGGATTCCTGGATCTCTGCCCAGCCACTGAACTGCAGAGGAAATCAAAGTAAAGCCCCGAGAGCCACCCCACTGCTGTCACCAGTGTCCCGGATGAACATCAGTGTCCCTGCACCCATCCCGGCACCGTGGGGCTGTGCACGTTTCCAGTCCGAATCCCTCGGGAGGCGAGGGGGCACAGGGGCACTCACAGGACTCTGCCGCAGCGCTGGCGGCACACGACGAGGCCGAAGGGGTCCTGGCTGAGCTGCGGCCCGCACAGCGGGAGGGGGCTCGGCCGCGCACCCGCGGCGTGCCCAGCGGCACCGCGCGGCGCTGCTGCCGCCTGCCCGCTGCCACTGCGAGGCGCGGGGCGGCTGCAGGGAGTTCAGAGACATCAGAGCTGAGGATAGTTCTTTATCTAAACAATTCTGTC